TACAAGACAATATCCATGGCAAAATTTCATGATAATCCACATATGATTCATAAATTCATAAAAAGTTTGGGTCAATTGGCTTTCATAGAGCTTTTTAAACTAGCGATTTGATACTGGTAAAGGATTGTGGATATTGTGTGACTAACTCAAACCGCCGACCAGAGATCTAGGAAGGAAACTACGTTTGGTCATTTAATATCAGAATACAGGCCCCTTTCATGCAATGAAGACATTATTTTCTGGCCACAAAAACTCCAATCCTTCAAGGATTTGTTTTCTTGTGCAAATTAGCGCCATAGCGAATAAATTATGGTGGCCATGGTAGAGCAATGACGTCTTGAAAATGGCTGATTTAAACACGAAGCACGCACGTTGTCTGCGTTGCCCTGATCGTATTTTTTTTTTTAGCTACAACTATCATCGAACCTCAGAGGCATAAAATTTGGACTTTTGTTTATCTCTCTTGAACTGTACAGGGGCTTTCGACGAGGCTCAACTGCTCGCAGTTTTCATCACGCTAGTATTGCGACGATCTACAGAAATGTTTCACACCCACCTTCTTTTAATATTTTGTCCAGACCCGTGTTTGAGGTATTTCTTGCAGAGCTTTAGACTGTACTTCTAAAGCCGTAAGCAGAGATAATTTTCTGAGGGATATAACTATGCTGATAGCGTGACAAATCAAATTGGAGAGGGGTTCAATCTGTCAATCATAATCCGCGACAGGCCAAGTCGCGGATTATGATTGACAGATTGACGCGCGTGAGAGGGCAGACACGAGTGACCTATCGCCTACGCATGTCAACCTGCACTTTTCACGCGTGATCGAATTGAGAGCTTTAAAAGCAAAATGGTAAAACCTTGAAAAACAGAAAAGGCTGAAAAAAAATTATTCTGGAACGAATACAGATAAGCAAGATGAGAAGACGAGCTTTAGACTTCTGTGGTCGTATTGTAATGAGAACATAGTAAAGGTGTTAGTAATATCATTATGGGATTACTCAATGATGTAAAAGTATTTTAATCAATTAACATGATTGTGGCGACTTATTTAGAGACTTGATCGAAAGACAGAATATAGAAAGCAATTAAGAAGTGAGTGTCTCCCCTAAATGAATACCGTATCGAACCGTAATCAACAGAGATGAAAAGAGAAAATGATATGGTACATCAAGAACCCAAAATATTCTCCCTCTATCGACTAAAGTTGACCAGTATTAATAAAACTTATAAATGCCATTTCTTTTTCCATCATCGCAGGAACCACTAGAGGAAAGGAAGGAGAAAGGAAGGAAATCACTTGGATATAGATTATCCAAAGTAACAGCAAAGAAATTAAGTTAAAGTTGTATATCATAACCCTGTAAATTAACCCGTTTTTTTTTTTGGCTAAGAACGCTGTATTGAAGCTTTTTTTTGCGTATTAAAATAATTTTTTTGGTATTCAATGTTTCCTCTCGTTTTCTTCACATTCTCAGCATTTACAGTCGACGATAAGATCAAAACTTGCCAGTTCATTTCACCCTTTGATAAAAAATTACCAAAGAGTTGTTTTTCTTAATACTCCCAATAAAAAGAATCCAATCCATTAAAACGGCCACGATTGAGTACAAAAAATGGACACTTCTCTCAGAAAATAAAAAAGAGTAACAGTTTCCCACTTTGAATGCTCCAAAGATGTTCAGACTGGAGTTGAACCATTGTAAAACGTTTCCCCTGAATTCTTGTCTAACCAGCTGGTGAGTTCAGTTAAATCCATTACTAAATTATCCACTTTTACAGCAGCTCGTAATTTAGCAGACCGTGAGCGAGGATTGAGATAAACTTCTTCGTCGGTGGGATAAATAACTTTCTTGTGAAGTGGCAACCAAGCGCTTGTTTTCGCTTTGCCCGCCACGTTTGTTCTGGATCGCGTGTAACTCACCTCAGAATTCGCATCTTTAAAGAAATGTCTAACAATAGAGTCTTCTAAAGCATGAAATGAAATGACCACTAGCCGCCCGCCAGGACGGAGAAGTTTATGCGCCGCTTTTAGGACGCACTGAAGTTCATTTAGCTCATCGTTTACGAGTATGCGCAATGCTTGAAACGTTCTCGTTGCTGGGTGAATGGGTCGGGCAAATCTGTCCGACCGGCTGTGACGAACAGCAGCAGTCACAATGGCTGCTAACTGTCTTGTGAAAAGTATCGGCATCTTTGACCGGGCTCTGACGATTGCTCTTGAAATGCGAACTGAAAACAAAAATTAAGGCATACGTTATACTTATAGCACTACGGTGGACTGGTCCACAGTGCTGAATCTCTTTCCATTCTTTGTGAGTAAACATAGACCCTTGGCCCAATTTCCGCCATTTTTTTGAGTACAGTCTTGATCCTCCCAAGAAGGAACAATGGAGGGAAGGAAGGGAGGGGGAGAGGGGAGAGGTGAGCATTGGCTTATTTCCCAAACAAGCAGTAATCTATGTAGGCTGGTAATTCAGCCTACATAAACCCACTATGAGCCATGTTTTTCACCTGGGAGGGGTGCTTATCCAGTTCAGATTACCCTCCCAACTGTAACCAGGATTGGCTTTCCTGAAAGTTCACTTTTAACCCATGAGTACTCTGGGGTTAAGAGAGAAGCAGTGCAAGAGTAAAGTACTTCCTCTAGCATACACAAATGTGTATGAAAATCTTTGCCCAAGGTTTAATCTAAGAGAGCCATAGGCCACATTACCCTTGAGGTAAGCCACTAAGGAATCAAAAGAAATTAATATTTTATTCAGAGCATATTTAGCCCTCCATAAATGAGGTGACGAGGAGTATTGCTATATGAACCACTCCTGGATGGGATGCTAGCAGTTCCTGACAATTTGTCAGCACTCATTTATACTCTCCGATTGTAGAGGTACTGTGAGAGTTAAATGTCTCACCCAAGAACACAACACATTGGCCCCAGTCAATGAACCTGGAACCCTCCCCTCAAAGTCCAAAGCTCTCTAACTCCTCCCTCAAGGCAAGGTGTTAGCATTAAAAATCAAAGTGTGTCTCTTTTATTAACACTCATCCAATAGATAGTAATTAATCCACAAGGTGGTATTTTCCAGCTTTCACAATTTTGTTACATTCAGTACCTAATGGGGTAGTACCCTCTATTATCATTTGGAAGTTAATGCCACTAACCTGCTTCTTTTTCTTGTCCATACTGCCTCAAAACAGCAGTAAGTTCTGTTTCGTTGATAGAATTCACCACATCAGCTGCTGTCATCAACAACCTCTTGCCTTCTGTTGACTCCAGCATATCACCTCTCTCTCCCATTCTCATATCTAGAGGACCATCTTTATAAAATGAAAACCCTCTCTCTGGATTGTCAAATTGTACACTTGATGCACCAATATCAAGGAGGATTCCATTTACAGACTCCTTCTTAACACGTTGGCTTTTCAAAATTTCAAAGATATTACTGAATTTCCCCAACATGGGAATTAATCTTCCTTTGAATTCAGGTCTTTCTGAAAGGATTTTTGCTATTTCTATAGCATCTGGATCTCTATCAAAGGCATAAACTTTACAATTTGCACTTGACAGGATTGCTGCTGTATGTCCCCCTGATCCAAATGTTGCATCTATAAACACCTAAAATGGCACAAGACAATTAAAGATATCATAGTGATAACTTTCCATAACCCTTAGTTTATAACATTAAACTATAAGAATAATAAAACACAACGAACTATTGTTCAGTGTACATGTAGGTTAAGTGCAAAAGACTCTCATCTCACTACTTAAACCATTAAGGCCGGTTTACTTATGTTGGGTTATTCCCAAACAATCAGTAATTTCAATGTCCCAATTGTCCCAGATTTTTTAAACAAATGAAAACTTGAATTGTAGAGATACCTGATTTGAGAAACAAGGCCTTGGCCTTTTGGTGTGGACCTCTCTAAGGTCTTATGGGGTAACCACAAGATAGGGTGTTGTTAAGTTTTTTGTGCTCTAATTGCCTGGCTTACTTTAAAGTGGGTTACTTGGACAGAAATAGGAGAAAATTAATGATAAAAGACACTGTTAAAAGGGGTCCCAGCCAACCCAGTTGTCTGAATATCATAGTTCTTCATTTAGAACGAACATTTTGAAAGAATTGCATTTTTTTGTCGTCATTTTTGTCCAATGACCACAAAGTTTTTTTCCTTCCTTTTGCTCCCAAAAGGTGAGCAAAACATGGCACCTGTCAACCAATGCAAATTGCAGTAATAAACTAAGGCAAGACAGGGAGATGTGAAGTTATTTAAGTGCAGAATCCCTTTATAAAGCAGAAAATTTTGTTTGAATGACAAATTTGAGTCACACTCAAGACATATAACTAACAGGAAAAAACTAAATCAGCTAAGGACTTCAATCGTCAGTAGCAGCGTCTTGGAATTTGTATAACTACATGTACAAACTCAACTAACGTAGTCACGGTATAAAAGTTTACTTTTAATAAACTGGTGGATTTAGTTTATTTTGGTAAATTTTTAATCTAGATCTTATTAAGGTGACGTAAACAATAACTACGGCTTCTCTCATCTAAAATTGCAAATTCTACAGCAATTGTTTTAATTCCACAAGGGACGGCAACCTAATGAGGACTAAAATTGAAGCCAGAGCCAGTGAAAGAGCCTCAGGAGATATACCATTTAAAAGTATGCGAAACCTTGTCCAAGACCAGGAACAACAGAATTACTATGGGTTCGATTTCAAGGAAAATCGAAACTCTAGACACCCATGACTTCAGCTAAAAAAAGGAATAAAAACGACTTACTTGTCCGTCACGAGGAGCAAGAAAGCTGAGACATTCTTTCAACATCACAGGAACATGAACGGTGTGTGAATCACCTTGAGTACAAAAGTATCGAAATTTCTGAGAAGGAAATAAACACAGACTTCTAGCGCAAAACGAAAAAGAACTCGCCGCCATTATTGTTTTTGTAACCTAATGTGTAAAACCACTGACCAAAAATTGTTTCAAGCGCGCTTATTTCAAAATGGCGGCTGCGAGATCACATTCAGCTCAACAAGTTGATCCAGTGGAAAGACTAAAAGAGGAGTACAAGGCGTGGAAACACAGTCATCCTAAGGTTTGCTTTTTAATAAATATCGTGTCTAAATTTCTAAGGAGAAAATCGGTGAAGGGATTTTGGAAGAAGGCCTCGTGTTAAGTTATTGAACAAAACGTCACTTAATATTCCCGCAAAGTCACTCCGGAATTTCAGATGGAAAACAGGATTTCACCGGAAACACCAATTGTTTTCTTCTCCTCAGCTCCTCCAACACATGACTGATTGATTGTGTTGTTTTAAAAGGGCTATTATGTTTTGAATGTGCTGCAATAATTAATTCCTCAATACTGTTTGTTCATGCTCAGGACTTCATTGCTAATCCTGTAAAGAAGGACGGAGGAGAAACTGACTGGCTAACTTGGAGATGTGGTGAGATTAAGCGGTGGTGAATTAAGTTCTACGATAGTAGTTTTTTTGCCATTTAATATTATTTTTGGAAGCTTTGTTGAAATTAAATGATTAATTTATAGTGATCTATTGCTGTCTTTGAACCCTGACTTTTAAGAACTTGATATTCTTTTTCTCCACAGCCATTCCAGGACCAGAAAGGGTATTAGTGATATTTACATGCTATCTATATAAATCAAATTACCCTCTGGGCAGGGTCACCTTCAATTTACCATAAATGTAGAAAGACATCACCAGCTGGGTACAGATTTATTAAAGCAATAGAGTGCACTTTTTATGAGCTTATCAACACACTGAACCTCCAGGGATATTGGGAGAACACTTGAAAAGTTTGTTATTCACCTCTGGCTTGTGATTCCCACATCTTATCATGTTCCCACAACATCTTAAGTGGGTTAATATGCTGGTAAACTGGTAGAAAGCACAGTAATGTGTATTTCTTTTTTGAAATACACTTTAGTTTTCCATGGATTTATTACAGCAATAGATGATAGGTTTTTAACCTATAAGTGTGCTCTTAGTTTCTTGGTTTTTTCATTTTAAACACATTTAGGCAGCCAAGACCACTTTGGTTGCCTCAGAAACTAAAGAAAAATTTAGAGATCAAATTTTCAAGGAAAGTTGCCAATTTGATGATCTGTTTCTGCCAGTATTACAGCAAGTTTTTATGGTCTAAACACTAGATCATTTAAATAGCAGAAACAAAATTTTTTAAGGTTCCTAAATGAAAACTTTGAAAATAGTTGAGTTTGGAGTGCCCCAGTATTTGACTTATAAAACTTGAATAACACAAGGTGGCTTGCTCTTACTCCCTCTGATTGAGTGAATGAGTGCAAATGGCATTGCCAACCTTATTTTAAAACCTAGTTAACTGAATATGAATTTGTGAATGTTAAATTTCATATAACTGTTTTTCAAATTAGACAATGTGGGAAGGTGGCATGTACAAGCTAGAGCTTTCATTTCCCCAAGACTATCCATTCTCTCCACCTAACTGTAAGTAAATTCCTCCAACTTTTTTGCTTTTAAAATTGATCATTTGCATGCATGCAACTATAAAGTTTCAATTTGAAGGCCAAAAATTGGTTTTACACTGGTTTGATTTGTGTTTCCTCAATGTTCCAGATACACTAATGTAGTTCCTTAAACAAATAGAAGACAAATCAAACTCAGCTTAAATTCATTTTAGCCTGAAATTATAAATTGCAACATATATTCTTATGAACAATCGTATTTAGTGCGCTACTTTGTTGATGATGTCATCGATGGGTTGGTCAGTTAATGACCATTATTTCATCATACAGCAAGGAAGTGCAGGAATGAATATTCAGCAAGCAGGCCTTTATTGTGGCTGCTGCACGAGGGCTTCACAAGATGAGGTAGTGGGAAGAAGGCAAAGGGTTTAGTCTCATTTTTCATGCCAGATCCCTCATATACCTCCTGCTTGGGGGTGACATATGCAGCTGGGCTTTTGCCAACCCAGTGGACTTAGAACTATAAAAGATGCCTGAGTGCATTCAAAATTATCTAATAATTTCATTCAGTTGTGTGAATATCCATGTATTTACATTGTAGGTGTGTTCAATCCTGTGATCTTGCATCCAAATGTTTTTCCATCTGGTAAAGTTTCCTTGTCCTTGATTGACAAGAATAAAGGTTGGAAGCCACAAATTACGACCAAAGAGGTACACTGTGATTTAAAAGTTGAAGATAAATACAGTTTGTGGTAAAATTCTTAAGGAGGCATAAAAACATGATCTTATTCAATATTTGGAGCCTTTTAACAGTTCTGTAGGAAATAAAAAAACAATGTCAGGGTTTTCAACCAGTATGAGTTGGTTTGGATCATCAAAGTAACTTTCATCATCCTTCTCTTCCAACTACATTAACCCTTTAACACCCAAGATCTGATTGTTAATTCTCCCCTCTAGCTGCTTCACATTTCCTTGTAAATAACTTTTGAGAATTTGGTGCCAGATCAAGATAACAGCTTCCTGATAAGTTTGAGTATTCTCATTACCTGTTTGTTGGATAGTGCTTTGATATTATAGGGAGAAGTTACTTGATGAGGGTTAAGATCAGATAAAGCTTATCCACATTATTTTGTCAAGTACCCCTAATGACTTACCATTCTTATTTTACACCCTTAATGCCCTTACATCAGTATGCATATTCTCCACAGTGTTCTCAATGCATTTCTTAAGGTGCTGACCAGGAGAATTTGTTAAACAATCAGGAGCTTCTTTTGTTGGTGATCATTTCCTTTTAACTATTTTCCTGACCTTAATGAGGGACTCATTGCTGATGTTGTAAGAAGAAATTAGGTGTTCTTTACTTTTAAGGGTCAAAGGTTTAAAACAGTTCATCTTTTGCATAGTATAAATATCAGACACCGAAAGAGTGGTGTCATACCAAAGTGTTTAATGATGCAATTAAGGATACAAAGTCACTAGGCTGATATATGCTGAGGGACCCCAGAGTTGGAATTGATCCATGCTGAAGTTTAGAGCAAAGTGTGTGTTTAAAGTGAGTGTGATGTTTTGCTGTTATGTCTTATTTTTATTTCCTGTTCAGGTTCTTCTTGGAATTCAGTTGTTGCTTAGTGAACCAAACTTCCATGAACCAGCACAGGCTGAAGCATATGTAGTGTATTGGTGAGTTTGATCTTGATAATTCAACTTAAGGAACACTTGGTATTGTACTTGAGTTTATTAAGCTCTTGGTAACAGTAGTTATTCAAAGTGTTGTCAGAGAATTGTTCATTGTTTGGCTACTTTATATCTTTTGATGTGCAGGCTATTTGACATGTCAAGACTAAGTTGTCTTGTAATCTATCCTATATAGAGAACCTCAGCTACAAAACTGTTTGAAGGCTGAGTACTGCCTCCCATCTTTGGGCTTTTATAGGTGTTCAGTTGGTGAATTTTAGTGTAATAGTACAGGAGTCACATATAGTGGATAAATCACCAAATTTTGTCTTACTGATGGTCTCATTTTCTATTCTTGCAGTCAAAGCAGAATGGAATATGAAGAAAGAGTCAAGAAACAAGCTAAAGAAATGACTGTAAATGGCAGCTGAAAAAATAAATTATATTTTTGATAAGATAATAGATACTCCATGAAGGTTGTACAGACAGGTGACACAAGGAAGTTGTTATTAACCCAGACAGCAAGGCAGATGAATTTTTTTTGTCTTGCACAGGGTGTAAACAATCCAGTGTGTGGTGTAAATGGTGCCAGTGCCCAGAAGAAGGGCCATACTGTAGGCCCCTTTCCCCGTGAGGGTTACTAGAGGCATGCTAAAAAACATAGTGGTAAGAGGTCTCATATGTGATGGCGGACCACCAGTGACTGGCTTTTATTGAAATTCCTGGTTAAAGTTTGGCCCAAAATTCATTTCATTTACAAACTAGGTCATTGGGATGCTCCTTTATGAACAGAGTGCAAATACATTACAGTCTCAAAGGCAAATGTTTAACTCTCAAGCTTTGAACAGTTTTGCATACATTTCATTTGTGCATGTACTTACTGGTTAGAGGTGTATTTACACAAGGATGGATGAAATAAAGTTTATATCCAATAGAATATTATTTTCCCGAACTGCTCCTAGGCTAAATTATCATTATATCATCAGTGTCTCACAAAATTTACATGATAGCTTTGCATTAGGTTCAACAGAGGGAGTAAACCTCTGACTGAAATTCCAGATAAACCCAACTTCTGCATTGCAGTCAAAAAAAAAAAAAAAGGAACATCACCCAAACATTGAAAATTGATTTTAAAACCTACCCATGTCCATTTCCCTGGAAATAGGGTCCCAAGGTTTCCTATGTGTCTTCAATCTGGAAGATAGGTTATTGTTATTGTTGGACCTAACCACATGTTCTTAAAAAAAAATTGCTCACGCTATGTCTTTGTTACACTCACTTCAGAAAACACATAGGCATGTGTAGCATGTAAGAGTTATATTTTTGGCTAGATGGGTTGAGATGGGACAGTTTGTGTACTTAATGTTTTCATTTTTGTCACCGAAAAGAGCATAAGTTTCAAAAAACAAAAATATTGCAGACAGACAGAAAAACCTAATTTTTCTTTCATGGTGTGTGATAGAAAGTAAGCTGTTCAGTATGTGCGTTGTGAATAAAGGAGTGGAAAAAACAAGTTTTAACTTAAAAATTTAAATGTGAACTTTTCATATCACGATAAATCTTGACCTTAATCCATGAGGCTCTTGTGAAGGCCACAAACCATTACACTTAACAAATGAGCCCAAAATTTCTGGTTAATGTCATTCTTTGTGCACAGCTCCCTAATTCATGACATCATTTACAAGAAAACAATTCCTAGATGCTGTGATTGGTGCAAGATATCCAAATGTGTCAATCTGATTGGTACAAGATACATGATGCAACACGGCAATCCTATTGGTGTGAGAAACATACCACTCTACATGCTAACATAGTTATCATTTTTTTTATAAAGAGAAAATAACTCTGTTCTTTTCACTCTGACGTCATTCTCATCCCAGTCTTCGGCAATCTTGAGGACATAACATGTATTGAGGACATAGTAATGGCTCATACATGACATACCTACCCCAAAATAACGATAGTGTCATTGTTTTGAAGGCGCAGAGATACACGTGAAAATAGAGTTTTCGCTTTGAACGGGCTCTGAGGACAAAGATCCAGGTTGAATTTAAAATTTTATTGTTCAAATAGGTCTGATTAAACTGCAATGTATGTTAACTGTACGTATTTCGTCAGCAGCTTAAGGAATTAAAAGTTCCGACCAGGAGGACAAGGTCCAAGTTGCAGAGGACACGGTACGCGAGTCAGGTTCTTGTTGTTTTTCGTTCCATATCATGAGAAAAGCATTTGATGTTAAAATGCCGACCAATCATTGTTTCAGTCTCAGCATAAAGGGTTTTGTTACCAAAAAAAAATTTGACTTAACTTTTAGATATTCTCGTAAAACCGTGTGACATCCATTCGTCAATCTCAACCCCTCATTGAAATTCATAAGTGCACGTACTTATTTTTTTTTACATCCAAGTACTTGTCGTGTTTTTCAAGAATAAGCTGTAAGAACCGAAAGACATCAGAGTGAAAGGGAAAGCTAACCAATAGACGTACTGAAGGTTGATTTACCGGTCATAAGCAGCAACTCTGTTATCATTATTCGTAAACGTCACCCTGAGATCCGCCGATAAGGATCTAAATATATTTCATTAGGTGCAAATTAAACGTTTCCGAAAGTGCTGTGTTTACCGGTAAACACAGCACTTTCGGAATAATATTAATATTAAAAAAATATATTTGTTCGTTATGGTTTTTTTGAGTTTCACATTTAAGGATGAAAAAAGCCTGCAAGGGAATTAAAATAGGATTTTTCTTTGGGGTTTCCAGAAATTTGTGTGTCAATCATTCTTAACCTTCAACGTCCCTTCTTCCCCTCCTAACCCTTTAACTCCCAAGATCTCATTAGTAATTCTCCTTACTGTCTGCCAAATGATTCTCACTATGTTAGTTTGGAGAATTTGGTAACGGATCAATTAGTTATCCCATAATTGATATCTTTCTTTATTCTCATCACTTGTCTGCATGATATTGTATAGATATAGTAAGGGGAAATTTTCTTTTGGTCACTCATGGGAGTTAAAGGGTTAAGGCATTTGAACTTTTGAAGATTGGCCTGTGGGGCAAAAATGCCCCAGCCAATAATCAAAGATTCTTTGTGTGATTAACGTTTGTTGTAGAAATTAGCAAAGTCACATGTTGGTGCTGCTGTTGGCTTTTGGCTTGCAGGTATCATTGTCTCTGCATGAATGTTGTCTTTCTAAGCCATCTGCTCATGAAATTGAAACTACTCAATCAAAATGTATAACACAGTGGAAAGGGTTAAATGCTTCCTTACCCCACCCAGGCAAGGTTTATATTCCCCACCCCCAGAGCATAGCTGACAGTCAAATGCCCTTGGGTTTCCTAGGGTGGGGAGGGGGGGATGTTGAAGCTTCAAAAATATGTTTTATTCAATTGATGTTTTATTCAATGATGTTGATTCCTTAGATGGCATCTACTGTTGAAGAGAATGGGACACAATATGCAAGTAATGGTACACAGGAGTGCTCTGAAGAACAGGGAGAGCTAACAGCAATGCACAATGTGAGCACAGCTATTCAGAAATATGCTCTTGAAGCTATGGACATGTCACAGTTGGAGAAATTAAGACTTAAAGAGGAGTGTGAAATATTAAAGGAGTTTGTCAGAAAGATTATGGAATATGGTGGTGATAATTATCATCAAATAATAGAGAAAGGAGGTAGGTGATGATTCATTCAATATAATTATATTGCATAGTGTTTGGTGTTCTTTATTTTGATATTTATATGGATAACATTTGATGTATACCTGGTATGTGTTGTAGTATCCATGTACTTCAAAACAGATCTGCTGAATTGAACTAAAAAACTAAACTTTACAGTGGCTCCCAAAAGTATTTATGAATTAACCCACCTTCACCCTTCAGAGTGGGAATTTTGAAAGGAAACCAAGTTAATTTCCCACAGGAGATTTATTAGTTCAGCTAATAGTTCAGGTAATGTTTTAATAAGGCTTCTGTTTTTGGGGTCAATATTTAGATTAAAGTGATGCTACTGTGGCATAATCATCTCTAATGGAAGGCAGATATACCAATTTTGGGCCTAAATACCCTAGGATCTTTGTAAAATTTCTTCATTTTTTTTCCTCATCTAATGCCTGAGCTGTCATATTAGTTTTGCTTGATGACAGTTTTAAAGCAAGTGCTTGTGTTCAGATCTCATGCAGTCAAAGAGTCTACAGAGCCTACTTAGCTGAGAGCCAGGCAACTTTTTTTTTGTTTGGCTCTTGTCATCATGGTATGTGGCTCGATGAATAGTAATCAGGCTGTAATCAGGCTGTATTCGGGCTCTGTCAGGCTCCAAATTTTTGTATAGAAAGATCTCATTGTTTACTTTTCTTGTCTAGTTTTAAAAATCACCGTAAATCAGTTGTAAGAGTTAGTGTTACACTGCAGCTGATCAGGTCATCTTTTGTCATCACTTGATAGATGGATTTTAAGAAAAGGGGCTGAACTGTGTGTATAATGTGTGGAAGGAATCAATCATTTTGATGTCTTTCTTATGCAGGTTTGACCTCACTTCAACAAAGAGTGCAGGAGATCATAAAATCATCTGAAGACACAACTCAGAGGCAAAATGTTTCAGGTGCAAGGTTCAATGCTCTCAAGGACACAGCAACAGTTCAGTCTGATTCTCATGTGAGCAATCAGTCAAAGAAATGGGAGCATTCAGAGGCCAGACCAGCTCATGGAGTGACCAATGCATTCTTAGCAAGACACTCTGAAGACAAACATCTTCATGAAAGTCTGTATTATAACAAAGCAGAGGAGATGTTGGCGAAGGATATGGATAGCATGGTGAAAATGATTGACTCCAACAAAGCAAAACCATACCTTGGTGACTGCCAGCTTGCTGCCATGTCAGATCCATATTACCAACCATATTCTTCAGCATTTCCTCTGCCTAACTCAAGCACCATCTTGACCACAATTGGCAATCATTTGGCCTCTGGAACCTATAGAGAAGGAAACGGTGCTGGTGATTCTTCAAGCTCTTGCATAACATCTGCTGCTAATACAGGAAGAGATCATGATAAAAGTTCTGTCCAGTCAGGAGGTTCAGTATTAAATGGAAATTATGGCACTGAATCAGTGGAGTCCACTGACGACTCCTTGCATGAATTGGAACAGGGTGTGGAAGCATGTGCTATGCCTAGAGGAAGAGAAGAGAGAGAAGAGTTTGGCCAAGAAATTAAAAGAATAGAGCGTGAAATACGAGCAAAAAGAGCAAATGAAGAGAGAGAAAGTAAAGCAAGGGAGTCAGAGGAAGCCAGAAGATTGCCTCAACAGCAGTCTTTGTGGCTTTGCGAGCATTACCAACGTTGTTGTAGAGTTTGTTTCCCTTGCTGTAAGAACTTCTATTCCTGCCATCGTTGTCATAACAATTCCATGAAATGTGACAAGGAAGCTAGAGCAAGTCATGCTACTCACCTTAAGTGCAGCTATTGTAATTATGAACAAAAGGTGATGAAAGGTTTTTAATTATATTGTAAGTTGTCATTATAAGAGATTGCTTTATTTTTGACTGAGAGTGGTAGAAAACATACAGAGAGGAGATTCATGTCCCTTTTTCTGGTAATCTTTTAAAATTATTTTGGTGAGTTATTAATTACAATATGCTCTCCACTGTTGGAAACTCACTTTTTTCAAAGTCAGTACTTGAAAACCTATGTAAAATCTCAAAATGGTTACTAAACAGTGTTGTACATGCACATGTTTACACAATTTCAGTTGTCATTAAAAAAAATTGAGCAAAATAAATCTCACTGCAAAGTTAGAGACCAAATATTTTCTGTTTTCTGTGGCAACCACACTGGCCATGGGTTGGAGCACTGTTCTGTCTGATAAATGAGGCAATCTTAATGTTAAGAACTTTGTGATCATAATTCTCATTGACTTGGTCTGTGAGACTCATGATTTTCCAAATCATTTCCTTTCAGATTGGTGAAGACAGTGCCAAGTGTCGTAGGTGTGGAAGAGAGATGTCAGCATACTTCTGCGCTATTTGTAAACACTTCATGAGCATCGACAATAATCCATACCATTGTGAGAAATGTGGAATTTGCCGGTAACTGACCTGACAAAGTTTTCAGTGAATGAAAAACGTTGGTGTTGTGTTTTTCACAGCTTTTTATGTTAAGAAGCCACATAAGCTTTTTCAAGGGTTCAAAGTTCATCTTTTTGGCAACCTACAGATGTAGAACCATAGAATGGTCACCAGAAAGTAAACAGTTATAATTATAAACAACTCAAATTTTGCCTAAATCTTTCTTTTTTTTTTCTCAATCCTACCTCATAGCCAGCTTTACAAATTTGATTTTTCTACCACTTAAAGCAGGGTATCGGTCTTATTATGCCATGTTTTCTTGTAGGCAAAATAAAGACAAATTATTTCACTGTGATGTGTGCAGTGTCTGTTTCAACAAATACTCTCAAGGAAAGCACAAGTGCAGGGGAGACTCTGGCCATGATGAATGTGGTATCTGTTTGGAGGTGAGCTGGTAAACTTCAAAATACTTAACCATTGGTTTCTTAATAATTGTTTTAAATTATTATTGTTACTATTGTTGATATTTTTTTTTTAATTTTTCTTTTTTCACTTCCTTTCCCATGAGTAAATTGTTTCACTCTGTAAGTGTAACACTGTGTTCTTTCCAAAGTAATGTATTGAAAATTGCTCTCACACAGGCTGTGTTCTCTGACCACTTTGACACCTTCTGACATTTGGTCATTATTTGCCAAGGAAACATATAAATGTAACACTTACTTTAGATTCTGACATACTTTGTACAATATTTCTATCCCACTACATATATATATATACTTGAAAACTTGTTTATACTTTTGTTTTATCCCTTATTTCTTGACTATTTAATCACACTGCTTCAATCATTACTTCAGCATAATAACTTTTAATTTTTGGTTTACTTGTAGGATGTTTTTTACCGTGGATTTGTGATTTTTCCTTGCTCCCACAAGGTTCATCATGAATGTGCCGAGGCTATGATACAGAGTAAATCGTAAGCACTTCTTCAATTTTCCTTCTTCACTTCTTTTCCTTGTTTTTTTTTTATGTTGTTATGCTAGACTACAGGATTTCAACTTGCCAGTCATCAGTTTTCCAGAGAAAGCAAAAAGTATAACCTAAGTTAAAAACTCTTATAAGCAACTACCTCTGATACACTACTGCAACCAGACTATTTGCCATCATTGGAAATTCTCAGAACTTCTGGGATTAACCTCCTTTTGAGCAAACCACCTATGGTAATGCAAGCTCACTGAGAAGTGTTCATTGGGTAACAAGGTTTGCATTTTATTTGTTAAACTTTTCCCTCAGGAAGTGGCAATTGGTCCTCTACCTGGTTGTAATTAGTCTTGTCTGGCTTATGGATGGTTTTCTGTGTTTTCTTGCAAATGAGGAACCCACTCCACATGTTGTTCTCTTGCATGTAGGGAATCAGGTTTTTGCTGTAGGTTGTATAACTTGTTAGTTAACTACAGGTAGCAAAAGAAATCTGTATGTATGTCAATGATTAGTTATTGTATGTTTCTTGTTTTAGTAACACATGCCCAGTGTGCAGAGACCCATATAGAGAGCGGCTCTTGAGGAAAAAGGGCACCATTTTGTGATGTAGACACTCAGCTATCCTAACCAAAGATACATTGCAATGTAGACATAGGTGAAGATACAATGAACAAGAGTTGTAGACTCGATAAAGAGGCAGAACCCACCCACACCTGGTTAGCAGAGGAAGAAGACAAGGAGGAGGCAGATCAAGTTGGTGAAGAAAAAGGAACTACAACGACTTTTAACCCGGAATTAAAGGAGTTCTCAAAGATTGTTGATGAATTACAAGCATCGCCCCCTTTAAATGCTTCAACTTTTAGTGAGGACATCTGTGTTAGGTAGTTCCCTCAAGAGATAAGCCAGAGCACCTTCAAGGGACACAATGGAAGTAATGCTTGTAGGTTAATTTCTCTTCTTGTTGTTTATATTTTCTCAAGGAATGGAATTAGAATTCTTGATCAAGGGCCCCTTCCGCACAATACATTTAGGATGCTTTGTGGCTGTATAGAATTAAGAAATAGGATGTACAACATTTGCTGAGACAGTCCACCTAACAGATATCTCTCCATACCTTGCTTACTGTTGTGTTCTGGCTTCGCAGCCATTTTTTGGTCTCGTCACACAACGCCCTCTTCCCGTTTAAGAGAGAGCGCGTTGAGTGGTAAGACCAAATAACAGTTGCGTTAAAGAGACTACACTTACTGCCTTTCATCCTCCAACAGAAAATTGAAATTATTTGTCTACAGTTACTTAACTTAAAAATATAGTTTTGCGCAATTTTACAATGAAAAGTAAACTGAAACTCTGTTGTTCCTCTAATAGACCCTAACCAAAGATATATTGCGATCTTGAATAAGTGAAGATACATTGAACAAGAGAAAAGGATAATATTTCTAAAAGGGCCCCTTGATTGGTTGTTGCTTATGTGGACTTTGCCTTCTGTGCGTGAAATACCCAATAAAATGCAGGTTGTTTGCAAGGAATTAAAACGCAATTGTTTTTTTTTATTAATTTAAAAAAAAAAACTCAAAAATGGCTTTAAGTTAAGTTTTGGTTAAATACATGTTATTTGAATGCTAAATATTTCTGACAAGGAAACAATTTTGTCTGGCTTTGAAAAATATAAGCATGCTTAGCATGCAAGAGTTCTTTTTCAACTGGGTGGGTTAAGATGGGACAGTTTGTGTACTAAATGTTTTCATTTCTGTCACTGAAAAGAGCATAACTTTCAAAAACGTAAAAATATTGCAGAAAGACAGAAAAAACCTAATTTATATGTGCTCACACAGATATTATATGACCTACTGTCTCTATGAGCCACGCTTACTGCTGTCTCCTTCCCAGCCGTCGTTTGGGCTCGTCCCACTACACCCTCTATCTCCCGTTTGAAAGAGAGTGCGTTGAGTGACAAGACCAAATACCGGTTGCGAAAGAGACTATGCTTACTGTCATTCCTCCAACAGAGAGAAAATCAAAATTATTCGTCCACAGTTAGTTACCTCAAATATTTAGTTCTGCGTAATTTTACTACGAAAAGCAAACTGAAACTTTGTTGTCCCTTGAATAGACCCTAACCAGATATATTGTGGTCTCAAGTAAGAGAAGATACACTGCATGATATTCAAATGCTATGATATGATTGGTGCGAGATACATACCCTAATGCAGCAATCTGATTGGTGCGAGATACATACCCTAATGCGGTGATCTGATTGGTGCGAGCAATCTGATTGGTGTGAGCATACCACTCTATACACCAACATAGGTTTTCTATATATTTATGAAAAAAAATTACTCAAACAGGATTCAAGATGTCCTTGTTTCAACATTCATTTGGGTTTTCTCTTTAAAAGTGATGATGCCTCTGAGGGGGAGCTCCCCCTGCAAAGGTAGAATGGCTGGTTTCATAACAATAGCATTGAGCCTCCTCAGTACCTTTGTGGGATTTTAATCTAAATAAGCAATTCATTGTTGATGAAGAATTGTTACATGCACCTCATAGGATTGGAAATAAAACAAATAAGTTCTCATTCAGTTTATCAAAACACAAAAACATCATAACACCTTTTTTGGTACAATGTTAGTGACTCATGAGGATTCCCCCCTGTAACGCAGGTTTTAGTTTATATTTAATTTTCTTTCCAAAGGCTTCAAAAGTAATTAAAAACTGAAGAAATGTTCTGGCTAGTATATTTACATTCTTTTTCAGACTTTAAGTTGGATAATAAAGCAGTGGTATTTCAGTACAAGTCAATGCACAAGAGGGCTTGGGGTGTGCAACAATGTGTTTATGATGATGGTAGTTGATTTTCTAAAAAGATCTGTGACAGTCACAATAAATCTTTGTTATGGGGAATGACTTCAGGAATTTCCCAAGTTTTCATTAAAATGAAGGAGGATAAGAATCTTAAAGTCACTAAATTTTTCAATTGAGTCCACTTGTATCATGTTATCACTGGTGATTGGTTTGTTAACGCCTCATTTGCTGGTGGAACAACATTAACACTTGGATCTACTCCTTCATGGGAAAAGCTGACAACAGGCTCTTGGCTCTGTGATGGTTGTTCAGGTGATAAGCCATTTGGCTGGACTACAGATGTTTCTGAGGGGATCTGTGACATTTTGAGGGACTGAAACAAATGATAACAACACTGACATAAATGCAGTCAATAATTAAACTATCATCACTGGACAGTAAATATCACACTTAATATGAATGCCCTGTTCCATTTTTCAAAATGTTTTTCCAGTAAGCGGTTGGGGCCAAAAAGTATGATTCATTGATCAGGTGTGTTAGGAAGAAAAAAAAAAAACCATCTAGGACCAGTTGTTCAGATGGCCAATAACCATTTCCAGTGGATAAATTGCTATCCAGCAGTATTAAAAAAATGTACTGCAATATCCACTAGCAAAAGATTTATCCAGTGAATAGCATTATCCAACCTTCTAACAACTGGGGCTTGGAGTTGCATTTTGAAGATAAGCTTAACCTATACTGTACGTGACTGTGAAAATTAACACCAAACAATTATTCCAAAGAGCTGTAGATTTCAAATTACACTTTGCCCATACACCATAGTTAAAAAAAGAAACTTGAATATAAAATTGCCAAAACCATAAAGGTCATTAATACAATGCTGATGTAAATGTGAAAATATTCTAAAAACTTACCTTTTCCTCTTTTTTCTTCTGAAACTGGCAAGTTATTACATCAAACAAGAAACCAATGAGTGAGTGCATCATGCCTGGAACAAAGAATAAAGTTATTAGTTTATAGGCTTGGGAGGAAGACCTAAATCAGAACAGATACAAGGCAAATTTTAGCTAGACTTGATGACTTCAGTAGAACAAAGTGTTTGAATTGTAAATTTAGTTTTCCATGATTTATAAATTACTCAAACAACAACTTATCATCAAAGAGTTTGTAACATTTCATTTTGAATACAAGGCATGAAACAACACTATACTGGTCATTGTGCTGTTGATAAAATAATTACATGATTGTAAGCTATCTGTTTCAAGATGTTCTTGTTAGTATTGCATATTGCAATGGAAAGTGGTTTGGCATGAAAGCTCAAAAAAATTCCCACAATTTCAGATCACTTAATGATTTATAATGACATGTTTCTTACAGAAGTACAAAAAAAGGAGGTCTGTTAATAAAAACGTCAGAGTGGAAGACCCTACCTGAAGTGGCAAATATGCCTCCTACAATTCCACAAAGACGTACCAAGAAACCCCAGAATGATCTGTGACGACTTTCAACTCGTACCATTATGGATGACATGTCATATTTAAAGAAGATTCCTTGAAAAACAAAGCACTGACTATTGTGACAAAGCTAGCTCCTCTCTGACAATATAAATAATAACAATAGAATAAGGTTTGTCATCTCAAAATCATATCTAAACTTATGAATAGTTAACAGTCATCTGAGTTGCCCAGTTTGGTGATGCAAACCATTTTGCCGATGAGAACTGATGTAAGAACAGAGGAATGAACAATTTATTACCAACTGAAAGCAGATCATTTTTCTTCAATGTAATTTAACAAGATGACTGTTCAGCAAAGGTGATTTTAAATACTATAGGTATTTGAAAACCCCAAAGGGCTATTTAGCTTTTTATCAGAGGTTAAATCTGAAGTAAATATGGGAAACAGATCCTGGGAATTTGATATGTGAATGCTTAATAAGGGATGACTGCTCTCACGGGAGAAACTTAATTCAGAGTTTTGGCTTTATTGACCCACTGCCTTTCTCAATGTACATAATTTTGAAAAAAAAAAAACTTCATACCAGAAATTCCATGGCTTCCCGCCTCATGATTTATTTCTCGGATCTGAAATTTTAGATACATGCATCAATTACTTCAATGTGCCTTGCAAGTGTGCCACAATGGGAAATTTAGCAGTCACCTTTTTGTAGCAAAATTGAAGTGAAATTGATTCAGAATAATATCTGCACAGAAGTCACTTACCCTTTGTGTTACTGAGTATTGGTTTGTCTTTGTAACTTGACCATTTAGTGATTTGATTGTGGTTGGTACAATCTATGGAATCAGTTTAGAACTTAATTTAACACAAATAAATGCATTCCATTCCAGCACTTTTGAACCTATTGACAACAGTAGCACTGTTCTGTACAAGCACACTCATAAATCTTATGCCTGGGTATTTTTGTCACAGAAATAAACCTTGTAAAAATAAAAACTCACCTTAATGTAATATTGGTACATCTGCAGTTCTGAATGTAAAGAGAAAAAATAGGCTTACTCAAAACATAGATATCATAACTCAGGGAAGCCTAGTTTATCATACTAGGGAAGCCCCCCTAAGTTATCCAAATTTTTAAGGTGGAAAACTGGTATAAAATCTTAAAATGTTTTAGAGGGAAGGGCAAGCTCTATTGAAAACCAAAAAACAGCATTTAATAATGTTGTTGATCCCATCCATTATATGTATCAATCATTGGCAAGCCAAACAAACATGCATTTAATTTATCACACTGCATGACAAAATAACTGAACCCACATGAATACATCTGGATTCATAGCTCATATTTCTGTTTTTCTGTTGATTTCTTATCTTAAGCAAATGTATTAACTTACAGTACTGTCTACTTATTAATGAATAAGACAAAAATTTTCAAATACTTTTGTCTGTTGTCACAAGATCTCCATCAAGTGGGTTTATATGACCAGGTGCCCAGGGACCAAAGGAGAGAGCATCAATCCTGTGAGAATAGTTAAATGCTGCAAGGAAATTAAACAAGATCACAGTGTTACAAAGGCACCTCTTACAGCATGAAGGGTAGAAATTTATAGAATCTGACACCTGCTGAACAACCATGCACTTAAGTTTATCCACTGAGTGTGCAGTGTTATCCACATGCAGCCATCCAGATCTCATGTTTGTTCAGCTGACAGAAAGAACACTATTCTCCAACAAATGAATAAAGAGGTAAGTTTCTAAAGAAACTGTGGTGCTGCGTCAGTGGGAGAGTATAGCAGGTAATTTAGTGTTAACAACTGGGTTGAAAACGTAAATTAGCCACCGTAAAGAGTAAAAAAGCTGACGTTTCGAGCGTTAGCCCTTCGTCAGAGCGATTAGAGGAATTGTGGGTTGTGTGTGGATTTATATGTAGAAAGTGGAGCTACGCCATTGGTGGGAATATGGTGACGAAAAAACAGGAATAAATTAGTTGAATGAAAAGTTGATTCCGTGGGGATTAAGGGTGCCGATTTGAAATATAAATTTTTGTTCTAGTGTTTTACGGCTTTCCGAACTGCCTAGATGTAAGGAAAGGCCGCAAACTGCCATATGCTGTTTAGAATGATAAGGAAGATTAAAGTGTCTAGCGACTGGCTTGGATGCGTCCTTGTCATTTATTTCCACATCGCGAAGGTGTTCTCGGAATTGGTCACCCAGTCGTCTTCCTGTCTCGCCGATGTATAACTTATTGCAATAAGTGCAAGTTATGCAGTAAATAACATTGGCGGAGGTGCACGTAAAGTGATCAATGATCTTAATGGATCTTTTGGGTCCCGATATTTTCTCTACGTTATGAATGAAAGGACAAGTTTTGCATCGTGAGCGAGCGCATTTAAAAGTTCCAGATTGGTCATTGGTTTGAAATGAACTCCTGACTAAAAAGTTGCCTATGTTTTTGTCACGTTTGAATGAAATAAGCACTATCTTTTCGCAACCCCCACTTATTTCATTCAAATGTGACAAAAACATGAGTGGAGTTCATTTCAAACCAATGATACATTAATATTCTTAACAGGTCGTGACTCCGGAATTGCGTACAGTAATAATTATTATTATTATTATCCTTAAAAAACTTACTTAAGCCTACTACAGTCCATATCTTAGCTCACCAATGACACAATATCACAGTTGTCTCAAAATCTCTCAATATGAACAATCTTCTACAGTTACTGTTGCTCTTCCTTGGTTTATTTCTACAAACAGTTGTTCACTCCTGACAACAACAACTTCTAGTACTACATGACTGAGTCCTTGTATACATTTACAAAGTGCAGCTATTTTTAATTAGCAGTATTACAGCATAACTATGTGACCTAATAAAATGTTCAGGAAAGTCTCATGGTATGCATTTCAGCATGACTAGGCATTACAGAAATTTAAAGAAACTTATTTTTGCATTCATAATCCATGACAAGATTCAATTTTATCCTTTTGAGTCCAATTTTGCTTTCCATTCTTTAAATGTGGTCAACAAGGACATTGTCATGTCAAGTACTGAAGGGGACCACAACACTTGAGACAGAGCCTCATCACAAGTCAGAAAACACATATTCTTTGAAGAAAATACTTACAATCAGATGGCACAAAAGCACTCAGATGGGCATGTCCTCTGGGGTGATAAATGGACCTTAAAAAATTTAAAGATTAACACACTTTACAAGAGGTTAGGTTTTAGTTTAGATTTATTGAAAGAAGAACTATGGAGTATCTTCTGGGTTGTAACTAAGGATTGAAATAGTCTGCCAGTTAAGAATAGAACTGAACTGACTCAAAGAGAGACCTGGTAACAAAATTTGGTTCCCAATCTTTTGAAATGCCTTCACAGCAAGACTATCTGCTTCTTACTTTAACATGACAGCTAATGCAGGAGATAGTGGGGTGACATGGCAAGATTACCCTTTGCCAAGATCTTGTGGGCAAAAAGTCCAGCCAGCAATCACCTCTTTTTCAGCTAGCAAATTTTGCCATCAGCAGCACTTAGTGACAACCCTGATCTCCATAACTCCCCTGATGGGATTCAAGTCATATAAAAATTGATCAAACTAAAGATATATACCAACATCTTGATGGAAACTTTTCCAGTAATCACGGAATCAACTAAAACTGATACCTTTGTCTATTCACTTTGTAAATGTATCATGGGATTGATACATGTGTCACAAGAGGAAGTTATATGTTTAAGCTAAAATAATAAACTCGAACAGTCTTCTATGGTCTAATCTCTCTCCAGAGAAGACTTATGCCTCAAAAGGGGGAGGGGGAGAGGAGGTAACTTACTAGTGAGCAATGCTGTAACAAATAATTACAGCATAATCGATACTAATAAATTAGCACAGTGATGTAAATGTAATTGAAATGAGAGGATAATTAAAGCTGTGCTTACTTGCCAGCTGTAATGTGAAAATTTCCAGCCACTTTGTTAACCTCAAAGGAACCATGGACTCGACAAGCATCATAAGGTTTGTCTTGTTTTTCTCCATCCTTTCTGTAAGGTAAAGAATTAAAAAGAAATCTGAGTGAAAGAAAAGTTCCATTGAATAGCTTAGTTGAAAGTTTGCTAATGTGGTGAGTAAAATTTATTAAACTGCCTTAATCATTGCCTGAATTTTTGACACATTCATCTGCATTTACTTTCATTATGATATTAATTTCACTCTGAGGGATTTCACAGTTTTTATTTGAAGATTATAACAAGTGTTGCGTCCCATTAAGAGCATGGTCAGCTATGGGGGGTACATCATTACTAATGTTATTTTCACTACTTCTGATCAATGAAGAACTACATTTCTACACAGTGGCCAAGTTAAAAAGTGACAATAGCAGAAAAAGTAAAGTTTCCACTTTCAAACCTTCTAGGCATGTAGGTGGGTCCATTATTGTTAAACTCCTCAAGGACCTTCAGCGCTCTGTAGCCCTCCACAAATGCATGCATATGTCTAAACATTCTGAAACAATTCACAAAAAAGCAATTTTAAAATTGCTGCTAAGTATTCTAAACCATGATTAAATTTTTATTTGGTTAAAAAAAAAGGAACTCATTGATTATTGATTTTCTTTTGGCAGATCTATAACAGAAATATGAAAAGGAAAAATAAATTCAAAATAAACTGGTATGATAAATTTTTAACCATTTCAAAAGTTTACCCTCAAGCTGCATCACAACTGAAGTTCAAATCTCCACACACACAAAAAAGTCAGATATCAGCCAATTAAGCAATTTATTGCCAAATCAATCTAACAATCTGACAAAACAATCAAATCAATCTACATAACAAAGTTACCTCAACCAACTCATTTGATCCTCAGTTAACTCAAAGTACGTCTGTAAAATAAGAAATAACATTTATTATATATCATGTACATCCAGTGGTGCACCAGAATCTATTTGTACTCATGGGTGGAGTGAGTCACCAAGAGAGTGAATTATTTTGCTCAAAGACACAACTCAGAGATGCAGCTAAGTCTCCACCCTTGATGTCTAAACTCAGATCCAAGCCTACTGACAAAGATCCAAGCCTACTGATGAAGATCCAAGCCTCCTGACAATTTGGCCACAGCTCTCCCACAAGTATTAAATTTGTACATTGAGAAAATTCATGCATATGATACCATAGTGACTTACACAAGTAACAAGTCACAATTTGGAATGATACAGGTAAAGCCAATACATTTCAAAAGAATAGCAGTAATAAAACTCACAGGTTCTAAAGCAAGTTTGTCTCCTAATTCTAATGAAGAGCCAGATAAATCCAATACATCTGCTCCAATATCTGAAAAACAACCAATGAGAAAGATATTACACTATTGTTCAACTATTAAAGAGGATAAACTAAGTGAACTTTCATAATGATATCCACAATGTGATTATATCTAATGACTTGACCAACACCCTGACATTAGTATCTATATTTTACATACTCTTCTCTACATTTTTTCTTTCCTACTGAAAAAGAGAATTGCTTTAACAATCAAAGCCTCTTTACTTAGGTTGCCAATCATTTCCTTTACTCTTATGATCTCAAAGATTGACTCAGCAATATTGATGTGCGGAGAAATTAGATGCTGGTCTCTCTTTGGCTTAAAAGGGATAACTCTATTTCTCCCAAGATCTTAACATAAATTCTCACTATTATCTTCCATTTATTTCTTACTACTTTCCTAGAAGAATCTGGTGTTAAATAAAACAATCTTGACAAGTTTGCTGGTCTCTCTCACCCTTCCATCCCATTACCTTTGTACTTTACAATATACTGATAATGTCAGGAGAAATTACTTGTTGTTCACTCATAGGGTCTGAAAAGACTCAAAACGCCCAGACTAAGTTATTCTCACACAGCTTGTGAATCAACTACTTACCATCACATTGCATTGCTACCGTCATATCAACATTTATTTGAAGTTTACTGTTGATAAAAAAAGATAATTAATATTGTAGTAAATGTAGGGTTAATTTGAGATCAATTTGAGGCCAAAATGATTCCTAACTAGCTTAATCTAATTTTCTAGTTTCTGTAGTTTTTGAAAAATTCCTGTTACCTTATCTGAGCTTCTTATCAATTGCACAAGACATGTATGAAAGAACAAAATGAAACTATTAACATTTTCTTTATGTCCACCAAAAAAATCTGTTGCACTTAAAGGCTTCTAGCTTTAAAAAAGTCAAATCTAAAAAGAGGAAAAAATCAAAACATTTTGGGTCTTTCCATAGGATCATTTTGTTGCTCCACTTTCTGTCTGTGTTTTACTCTGTTCTATAGTGTATGTGGTAATACTGTGGCATATTCTGCATGTTCCAATACCTTGATATGACAAAATGGCTTCATAGGGGAATAATAATGGTAATAGATGCTTTATAGAAGGCCTACCTGTCAGTATCTGTGTCAACTTCATAATCATATTTGGTTTCAACTCCTCTGTAATACCAGAACTCGGATGTCACAAGAATTCCAATAAATAAGAAAATAATGATGGACACTGCAGCAAAACATAAAAGAGAAAAAGTGTTATTTTAAAGACCTGGAAATGACTAGGAGAGAATTACATGGAAATATAATCTTACAGTGAAGTGCAAGGCAGAACAAGAATGTAAAAAGAAATTTTGTCTGGTTAGTCATTAAATATCAGAATTTCTCCCATTTCTTACACAAGATATCACCACCACATTTTGTCAATAAACATTTGGAACTTTTGCACAGTCATTGAGGTAAGAAGCTTGTCTGGTAACAGGATATATACAGTTGAAGATTTCCCATTATGAGAAGATCTTTTCATTATTATCAAAATCTCAGGTAGGAGTTGAGATAATACTTGTCAAATTTACTTAACACACAATTCATGATTTGCAAACATTAAGTATGTCCTGGTTGAGCATCTAAATGGACATGCAATAACTTTACACCTCTCCAAAATAATAATCAACGACAATCCCCCTTTTTATTCATCTCTCATTGTTATTGTTATTTATCTATTTATTTTTTATCATCCCCCATATATTCTGCTCAATAAAATATTGAACTTATGCCTTGAGGAAGAAAGATGATAAGAATTTGAAGCACTTTGTAGCCTTTCTTAAGGCATAGGTTTCCTTTTCATACAAAATTCATACTACAACAAATACTTCCTCTTTTTAGACATCAGGTTATCACTTCAATACTTCCTCATATTAAACAACACGACTTTAAATTAAAGCAACACCGAATACAGCGACAACAGTGCACAGGAAGTTTAACAAGAGTACTAAATTTTTATTGCTGCCAAGACAACCGTAATCGTGCAGTAGGCCAGAATTGTGTACACAAAAATTACTAAGAGCCACGTACGATTATTAAGCCGCAGGCCAAACAAAATATATGTCATTCCATGACGGCATTCTCGTATATTGCTTCAAGTGATTATCAGTATTAAATGATACTGATATATTATAAAATACCTTAAAATTTACTCACCTGAACCACCACTAGCGGATGTTTCTTGATAATTTTCAGGAACTTTTGGGAAAGCATCGAGTTCCTTTAAAACTTTCAAAGTTTGTTTTCGATTTCTAGCTGCGCCTGCCCGACGCATTTTGCAAAAAAAATTGTTTATAAGATTATGTTGATAATTGCTGGTATCACTTTTACTGTCCTTCGGTAAACCTTAAAATTGGAGGACCAATTGTGAGCCACAATAACAATATTCCTCTCCAGAAGACGCCATGTCAATCCACGTGTGAGCATGCTCAGTTAAGGAGGATCCATGATGCAAAGCTGAGGAAAATCACAATCCGTGACCTGCGGACTACCAGATAGAGGATATGGAACAGATAGTTTAGTGTTAACAGCTAAGTTAAAAAACTTAATAATGATTTTAGATATATGAAATTCACATATTTGCACTGCGGTGAAGAGACGAATTTAAGAGCTCCTCGCAAGTAAGAACACTACTGAACTAGTAGTTGAAAATAGGACCTGAAAAAAATTCAGGCCCCTACGGGATTTGAACCCATGACCTCTGCGATACCGGTGCAGCGCTCTGGTCAATATGTTGGGTCCAAATAAACCATCCAAGTGATGAATAATGATTTTAGATATGTGAAATTCACATATTTGGACTGCGGTTAAGTAGAAATGGACCTGAAAAAAATTCAGGCCCGCACTAGTTCAGTAGTGTTCTTAGCTGCGAGGAGCTCTTAAATTCGTCTCTTCACCGCAGTGCAAATATGTGAATTTCACATATCTAAAATCATTATTCATCACTTGGATGGTTTATTTGGACCCAGCTCCCAGTTGGCTTGTTAGCTCAATTGGTAGAGCGCTGCACCGGTGTCGCGGAGGTCATGGGTTCAAAATCCCGTACGGGCCTGAATTTTTTTCAGGTCCTATTTTCAACTACTAGTTCAGTAGTGTTCTTAGTAGCGAGGAGCTCTTAAAAAACTTAAATTGACCACCGTAAAGAGTTTAAAGGCTGAAGTTTCGAGCGTTAGCCTTTCGTTAGAGCGATTGGAGGAATTTTGGGTTGTGTGTGGGTTTATATGCAGAAAATGGAGCTACGCTATTGGTGGGAATATGGAGACGAGAAAACAAGAATAAATTAGTTGAATGAAAAGCGCTCGTTGATACCGTGAGGATTAAGAGTGCCGATTTGGGAGATAAATTTTTGTTCTAGTGTTTTGCAGCTTTCCGAGCTGCCCAGATGTAGAGAAAAGGACAGAACCTGACAAAACCTGCCGATGAGGTCAGAATCTGGGGTCAATATTTTGCAAAGTGAAGTCCGATTAAGCACTGTAGAACCAAATTAAGGAAATATTAACGGCCAGATCCAAGGTAATAGTCCCAAGGAGCCATAGTTTGAACATACAAACTACTTGACAGCTGAGTATACAGGACGAAATCACATGTTTCCGTATTTCAAGTGAGCCATGTTTCCGTTATGTTTAACATGAACATACATACGCAGCAACTACTTGACCGTTGTGTTTCCAGAACGGTGAGTACGTTTCCGTAATTGATTTCGTCCTGTTAATTGATTTTAGTTTTGTGTCTGATCGGTTGAGAAGATGAGGCGAATCATTCTAGACCGACACAGACCGAAGTAAAGTAAAACAAATGCAATCTCGGACTAATTTCGACGCTCAGTTGAAAAAGGTTGGGGAAGGATCGCTCAGTAGCCCCAAGGACAACACAGCAGCGTGAAGATGACGGTTGTATTTGTCTACTGAAAAAGAGGGTTTGCTGTTCTCGTGAATTCTCTAAAAGAAACTTGGTGACTTGCCAATAGTACGAACTTTAAAATCAGTTAATTAATTCATACGTTTAAACGGGCATCTCACTTTGTAAGATAAGTGGAAGGCCGGTCTTCAGAAATTGACCCCTAAAAACGTAGAATGTAGCAAGTTTTAATCTGAAGGCAAAATTTTAAATGGAGTGGTTCAACAGATTAGAAAAACTGATGACAGGAAACAATTTCGTTTCGTTTCGTTTCAGCTGACTTTCGCAACGAGCTGTTTGAAAAATTTCATTTCATTTTTGTGAGGATGGGAGGGGAGTGCCCTTCATCAGAGTTAATCGAAAAAGACTAGTCTCGTTCCATTCCGACCATAGACGTTCTACTACGCCCTCAAACGGTAAACAATTCTCAGGGCTTCCAGGCGCGCGACCGGGGCGCATTGGAGAGAAGGTTTCACTTGAGGGGGAGGATTTGCGAAAATCACTCTCACGAGGACCAAAATGCGGGTCATTTATTTCATCCTGACCTACGCTCTGATGTAATGAATTCTGTGTACAGTGAAGAGCATCAAGAGAATGTCAACTGTTGATACTTTCTTAATGAGAACTCATTTCTTTGGTCGGAAACCCTTGAATGATTTATATAGGAAACAAAGGCTTTCAAGTAAAGTCTTTTTCCATACCATTTTTTTTCGAAGTGTCCCTGATGGCGCAACTAAAAACAAAATTCCAAGTGGGAACTTTAAAGGAAAAGCAAGACTCAACGATAACAAGTTAAACCACGAAAGAAAACGTTGACGTTTTTATTTTTCTCTTTCGAGAGGTTTATCAGTAAGCCTCTATTTCGTGTACTTGACCACGTTTTCCTACTTCGCAAATTTCTAGGCATACGCTAAAGAACTTAGGCAATAAAACGGTGTTTCTTTGAAAGGTTACATTAAACTACGACAAAATCTCTATTTTCACTCTTTGCACAAACGCAAGAGCGGCTCCAAACTGGAAGCAGCTGAATTATAGCCAGACACTAAGAAAATAACGTACTGGAATGAAATGCTGTAAAACAATGTTTTCCATTCTAAGATCTGATACGAAAATCTCTCTTCAAAGTCTCTCACACTTCTTAATACAATTGCTATAAGGATTTTGAGTTATGTCTTGAAGGACTCTCCAGCCGATGAGTTTATCAGTTCTCATTATCTGCTTCATGGATAATATATTGACATCAAGATAAGAGTTTACTTGGTCATCGGTTGACAGAATGTTCTTATTTTATGAAACCTTACTCTACACTGAGATACACTGTTAGAGTGTGCGGGGGGGGGGGGGGAGGTTTCAAACTGGATTTGGAAAACACATCTTGTTAACACAAGACCCTAAATAATTTAAGAAACATTGATGGGGGGAGGAGAAGTCTACACCCTGTACCCTCCCCCGGATCTGTTCCCAGAAAGCTTCCCTTTGCTTGTGATAATCAAAACTTTTTACTGCGTCCCCTCCAATCGCAGGCTCGATCAACCAGTGTATATTATTATGTATCTGTCCTCAGATTAAAACACTTGTAAACAATGATGCCCTCTGTCAGCTACAACAACATTTCCATTTCCTGAGATAGTGACTCCAGTCGGTTTGCTAAAAACACTGGCATTCTTCGATTCCTCTGCAACACCTATTTTCTTTACAAAAACACCAGCCGAATCAAATATCTGCACGTTGAAGTTCTTCAAGTCCGCCACCACGATGTGTCCCTCTGAATCAACCGCCACTCCAGCGGGGCAACTGAACTGACCTTTGTTGCTGCCCTTTTCCCCGATCTTTGCTAAAAACTGTCCTTTCTTGTCAAATATTTGCACTCGGGAGTTCCCAGCGTCCGACACTAAAATGCTGTCGTCCTGGTCAACCGCAACATGTCGTGGGCAGTTGAATTTTCCATCGCCATCTCCATACACGCCGAAGTGCATAATCGCTCGGCCATCGGAGTCGAAGATGTGCACTCGGTGGTTATCGCGTTCGGCTACGATGACCCGACCCTCTGAGTCCACGGCGAGGCCACAAGGACCTTTCAGCTGTCCAAGACCGTTGCCTTTTGAAGCAAATTTTCGAAGGAACTCTCCTTCGCGTGTGAAAACCTGAAAGAGGTTAAAAAAATGATAAAAATATGACACTACTTAAAGTAGAATGGTAAAAAACGAATCTTACCTGTATTCTGTGATTTCCATGATCTGCTACAAAGATGTTACCACTTTTATCCAAGCATACTCCCGCTGGGTACCAGATCTCCCCATCTGCTTTACCCCGTGTGCCGAACTGGTACAGTAGGCGACCATTTGTGTCAAAAATCTGAATTGAAAATCGATATTTAAAGTGCTTGAACTAACATTGATTTTGGCATGATAACTTTTCATTACAGTTTCGAAGCATGCTGTGATCCAGAATTCTATGTAGATTCTATCGAATGCAAATACTTATATCCATGCGTTCCCTCTCAAGTAGTTCACGTTTGCACAAGAAAATCGTCCAACACAAAGCTTAGATTCATTTGCCAAACATTTAGAATTTATTTTCTATCATGTAAATCATTAGTTTATCGAAACAATAACCCAATATTGGCTCAAAATATGCTGAGTTATTAGTCTAGAAAGACTATCTGTTCCGTGAGGTAAATAGTTTTCCAGGGGCAGAGACATCGCAGAGGACGCAACCCTACCTGAAGACGGTGATTGTGATGATCTGACACCACAAACAACCCCTCAGGGTCAGCAGTCACTCCCCACGGCTCGTAGTACTCATCATTAGTCTTATTACTGTTGGGTGCAAACTTCAACAACATTGGACCAATATTTTCAAAGTCTATTCCTGACGTGACCTGAAATATAATACAAACCTCAGTTTACATTTATTATCTTTCTTTCGATCTTGTTGGTTATCCTCTTCAAAACTACTGCATAATTTGCGAGCACAAAACAATATATTACTGAGTATAATTTTTCAAAGTCTCTTCCATATGTAATCTAGCTTTAATACATTAATCTTTCGATCCAGTATGTTACTTTTTTCAAGTCTACTGGATGATCTACGAACTCACGTCTATATATTACGTCAATTCCGGCAAGTGCCAAAATTTTTTCCAGGTTCTAATTTATTTTATTGTATGCGATTTTTAAGACAGGCTGGCCCAGATCAGCTTTAAAGCTGGTTTAAATGGGGGTCTGTATAAACTGGAACAAGGCCAGACCACAATAACGTAAGTTACGCACCCTACTCTTTGCGAGAATTGCGTGGATTTGCGTGGGTACTGGCTAACCAGTACAGAGAAGATGCAGGAGTCGGGCCCTCCGGTTTATCGTCCTTATCCAAGAAGACTATAGTGTCTAACCGTTTGCAGATGTCAGAGCAAAGGCAGCACTTTCTATTCAATTATCATAAGACCACAAGTGTTGGTCAGGTCTTAGGTTCGCACTCTCGACCTACCACACGGCAGTCCGGTGCTCCATAACATGAACTAACCAAGCCTGGTTGATGTTAACTCTAAGATTATAAAGGAGCTTCCAAAACAGCTATAATTACAAATACTTAAAAAATCAGACCAGACCTGTAAGTCAAAGGAACTTCCTTGAATAGGTTTACCCCGGATGTGAACCGTGATTTGATGATCTCCCTTTGAGACTGGCGTGAAGGAAGCCGTATAAGTGCCATCATCATTGTCGTCTACGTCGGCTGTGATCGGCGGACCATTTGGACAGTGAAGTTTGACTGACACCTGGTCTCCTCCTACAGAGTGAGGTATGATGTCAGCTGACACACTGACTAATGTAGGTTACACTTTGAAAATTGAAAAAACCTGAAGATTCTCTCTTTCTTAGGGCACACAACCCCACTGGGGAGAAATTACATTTTTAACTATAATATCTACTGACCAGAGGTACATGGTTCGCCATTTCTATCCTTTGCAATGATTGTAAACGTTGACTTGTGTCCAACCTTAGCTCGGCTGAGCCCGGGGCCCTCTGCGCATGACAGCATAGGGAACACGAAACTGGTGGAGACTTGACCGAGCTGAGCAATGACTTTGGAGAGCTGCTGGTCACTGGACGAGAACTCAACTACCTAAAGAAAGATGATCTTTTCGGCCAATGAACTTTTACATTGCTTAGAGAGCAGAATCCCTCATGGGTGGGCGTCCCTTCTCATGAAGGGGATTTAAGAGGGCGAGGAACCATTGACTTCAAGGGTAGGACGAGGGAAAGGACACACCGCTTAGATTTGTCGATTCTTTGGTAATCCCGCGTTAATAATAGTCATAGGACCGAGTGGAGTTCAATTTGGTCTGTAATCATATACACCAAGTTTTGACAATCTTGAGGAATGCTGACTTTAAGTCTCGAGTCTAAATCAAGTTAGAGAAGATTATATCAAAAAAATGCTTTTATGGGGCTACCGTTTCACAGTCTCCTATTCTCGTTCGCAGGTCCGCTGTTTTCCGAGGTCTGTAGTTTTATGGCATAAGAACAAAAAAGTTGACAATTGGTTAAATACAATACCTCGTTTTCTTCCGGTTCACACTGCGACTCGTGATCGTTGAGGCTCTGGAGTCTGCTGACCATCTGTGGCTTCACCAACATTATCTCAGCCTCGTTTCCATACCTGAGCACATTCTCTGTGAACTCGCAGCTACTAAGCAGGTTTTCTAAGTCTAGTTCCAGAATTTCCTGCTGAGAAGTTAAAACCTGAAAACAAACAAAATGAGGCGTCATTTTCCCTTCTCCAATTTGCCATAATTCACAGAGAATCCAAAAATGTTTGATAAGAAAAACTTGCGGTGTGTAATGCGTGATTTAAAATGGCCTGATCCTGCAAAAATGCAAAGAAACTGGAACACATGGACATCAGCAGCACAGAGTCATCTTACAGCTCATATGAGAATATCAGTCTTTTTGTATAACTGTCTTAAGATCCCACCTTCTCTTTGGAGCTGGATATGCTTTCAAGCTGGTCGATGAGTTGTCGTTCCTGTTCTTCTAATTCCCGGATGTGATTCTGAATGGTGTTATGAATGGTGTCACGTACTACTTCAACCCTCTCTCTCAAATCTCTCGTGACGTCATGTACCTCCTCGACAGCCGCGCGGAGGACTGGAATCTTGCGTTTGGTCTTGTCTTGAAGAGCCGTGATAGATGACCTGTATTTCTTTACAGCTTCTTTAAGATCCACGTAGATGTGCTCTCTGTGTTCATAGATAGCACAGTCTCGACATATGGCTTCGTCACACGTTTCACAGAAGTACTTGAGTACCTGAGATGTTTGGGCGAATAATGAAGCAACTTCAATTTTGAAACAAAACAAGTTCAGATTATCATGTTAAGAAGCGCAAAAAGCAACCACGTTATTGATTTCCAAAGTAAAAGAGCTGTAAACAGAACGATTTATATAAACCAAATATTATCTTTGTTTATTCATATATACCTCTCGTGGATGCACAGAGCAAAATGAAGGACAGCGAATAATTTCCTTCACTTCATTTGCCTGGATTTCTTCAAAAGACAAAATCCTGTGATCTTTTGTCTGGCGAATTCTTTTGTGGGCAACCACGCAACTTGTACAGAGGTTTTCCACGCAGTCAAGACACCGAGCTGTGGCCTGGGAACTATCCTCGCAGTTGGTGCATTTTGTTGGGTTCTGCACAGCTAACACTGTCAACATGTTGTTGATGAAGAAATTCAGCGGAAATGCCTCGATACCTTTGGCGGGAACAGGCACAACCAGGCGACATATTGAGCAAACGAGGGTTCGGTCTTGAGGTCTATAAATGATGGAAAGATACACAGTATGTTTTCCGCGCTTTAGAGTTGATTTCCTCGCATTGTATTGCGCATTCTATTCTGCCTATAATTGCGCGCAAACTGTCCCAAACTAGCGTGGGCTCAATGACTCATCGAGAGAGTTTGCTATGAAAGACCCATTAAAGGGAAATAACAGCCGTTCTCTTCTGAACAAGCTTCGCCACCCTTTTTTTCATCCTCCCCTTTTTGCTGTAAAACTTTCAAGAAAATGTTAGGTTGGGAAAACAACCCAAAGAACGACCTTTTTATTTACAACTTTAAATTTGAGATTACCTGTAGATGAATTACAAACAGGAAAAATGTTAAATAAATTCTGATGAAAAGATCGTAACCACGGTTCACATTGTAAACCTTACATAACTGTTTTAAAGGTCCGTGTGCGCATGCAAGTGAATTGGGCCCAACAATTATTTTGTTCAAACTTCGCTGGAAAATCAAGAGGGAGGGGCGAAAACCCACAGATTGGAAATAATTATTTTAAATTGTAAATAAAGTAAACGCAAAGTTACTTCAACGAAAGAGGAACTCAAGAAACTTTAAACAAAGGAGGTGCATCCAAATGTTTTTGCTTCAGAGAGCAAATAGACCATTGTTCTAGGAGATAAGCAATATTACTGAGGAGGGATTTGTGTATTACGTCAGCAGATGTGCTCGTCCTCGACAACACTATTAATTCGAAGTCGATGTCCAAATGGTCTTTGATCAAAGAATACATGTTGTTGAACACGAATTTCGTTGGGGGCGCCTTTCGGTAGCAAAAATGAGTATGTTCGCCATTCAAAATTGACGCACAAAATTTCCTGTACTAGCTCTGTACTGCCAAATATTTTCTTCATGACCAACTTCAGATGCAACCGAGCATTTTGGTGTTTCTAAGAACTCAAAAAATTGCAGATATATTTCTTTTTCTTTCTTTTCTTGCAAAAAATTGGGAAACTAGAAAATATTTTTCACGAGAAAAGCAAACAAGCATGTCATGGTAAGTTAACTTTCAAGAAAAGGTGCAGTATGCGTGACTTAAAACACCAACTAAAAATTGATAAAAATTTTCCCACCCTTTGTTTTGCAACAAAAGTGAACGAGATTTTTTTAAAAATATTTATTACTGAAAAAAAATTATCTCTCTACTTTGGAGTTTCTTTTATGTGATAAGATTAATGAGTAGTTGAAGTCTCTAGAGTTGAATTCCGCTATGAACTTGTCTCCCTAATGTGGCGAGAAAATTAACCTATGATCTCTCTGGTACCCGTTAACTTTTGAAATCTTTTCGCGTTTAAATATTCAAAACAACTTTGATCTTTCATCCACAGCTTAATTTAAAGTCAGATAAATATCACCAGTTTTTCTGTTAAATTATGAACTTTTTGAGATAAGACGGCAGGATATTTCACGTACGTAAAGGGAAAATGCTTAGATGGCCTTTTAGACATAACGCAATTTAATTTGATACGGCGAAGCACTGGCAAAGATGGCTTTGACAAAGCTATAAGGGCCAAAGGCCAAAAGCTTTTTAAGGAGGTCTTCAGCTTTCACTTCCCTCGCATTTTTTCAAGCAAGGTGTGAGAACCAAACGATAAATTTCTCAATATTACCTTCAGAAAAATACAAGTGGATGATTCATACCTTATGTTAGAATCAAGACAGTTTTGGCAAAAAGAATGCAGGCATGGCAAAACCTTGGGATTCTTGTACGTCTCGCTGCAAATCCCACAAGTAAGTTGGTAGTGATCGGTGATTTTATTCACCGGCACAGATCCCATACTGGCGGAGAGTTTTGCGGAAGAATTACATGGAAACCACAGTGAGAGCCCCTTAAAAGGCTCGTCCTTACGATGTTCCGTTTACCAATAAGCCAGTAGAGTCGTCAAAGAACTTAGCGGGTTGATTTCACGGGTGCTAGGCGCTTTGATTGGCTGATTAATGCTCGGTGTGATGTAATGATATGGGTTTACATGACAGACTTGTTTTGGTCTCATATAAGAAGAAATTACCCAAAAATAGCTTTTTTAAACTTTGAAGTATTTTTGTTTGCTACTTTTATTTCTGAAGTATTGAAGTAGGAGGTTAGATGTTTTAATTTAATCCTGAACGTGGGCTAAAAATCCACTCGAGATTTAAGACGTTATGTCAAAAATTCTCCATGTTCTTTGAAAGCACATGCTATGATAAGGTAATAATTCTAGCTTAGAGGGATAAAGTATTATTTGACTTGCGTGCTCGTTTAAAAGAGGAAATATCATAATCACATTTCAGAGTGTTAGATTGGGTTTTTAGTCCTTGATTTCCTCTTATTTCTGGACATAACAATAAATGTTTGATAACCTTGTTATTTCAATGCTCATCGAACCACAAACCATACTATCGACCGAGACCCTTTCAGTCGTTAATTGTTTAATAAAGGAAATGCATGCGACCAGTCAGCGAAATACGTAAAAACGCACACAGTTATCCTGCCCTCCAGAGGTGCTTTATAGATTGCTTTCCCGCCAAAACAGATATACCAGGATTACCCTTGTATACACGGTTCTGGTTTTACTGTACTTCGCTCTGTGATTGGTCTAGAAAACTTGCACCACCTCTCAAAGTATCAGATGCAAAACCTAAATCAAACACAATCCAGTCACTCACGTTTTCCAGCGCTTCAGGCAAATTCAGAGTCATTGGTTCCTTTAAAAATTTTTCTTTTGCTTTTTTTTTTTTGGCCGCTGTGACATTATTAGATAAGTCTCACGGCAATAAATCTAGAAGGGCTCTATATCAACCACGATCAGCTGCAAGAGCTTTTGGAGTACTTAAAGTAACTTTATGAATAAATTAATTTGGGTAAATTTAGAAGCAGTCCTTGCTTTTAAAACTAATGTTCGGAACTCAGAAATATACGTTCTAATCCTGGCTAAGGTCACTTTGTTTTTGTTCTAAGGCAAGACACTTCACTCCCACAATTTATCTCTCCAGTATTAATGTGCAACAGCAAACGCCCAGAAAAACGCTAAGGGATAACCTGAGTAGCAAAATCCCTTTTCGCTCCAGGCTGAAGTACCCACAACAAGCTCTAACAGCAAATCAATTAAGGGCGCAATGTTCACTTTTGGACGTACATAAGTTGCTAAGCAACCTCGTTGGCCAAAACCAAGAGCTCACTTAGGATTGTAATCTCCTAACGGCCACCGTCACGCGCAAAACAAAAATTTCTTCTCAAAATCACAAATAATGTGTCGGTACCTGCATACTCCCTCTAAGAAGTCATTAACACGCTTTAACGCTTTAGAAAAACTAACATTCTCTCAGAAATGAATGTACACGGTAAATTCAACGACTGACTTAAATTCTGCGAAACGCAACTTACGCTGGGCAAGCGATAAAACCTAAAATATATTATATCCTGGGATGTTAGCGGAAAAAATAAAAAGGGTTCTGGCCCCCGCGTAGGATTGACTGCCCATGCATAACACGAAATCTACGTAATTAATCGATAAAGAAAAATTTAGAAAACTCAACGTAGTGGAAGTTTCGACTGTAATACTTGAAGAGACACTCAATCCTAGTATTTCAAAAGATTTGAGTGAACTTTTCTTGAAAATTATCAATTAAATTAACTTAATTGAAGAAGAAAAAGTAAATCAATCATTTATTAGATTACCTCACACAGCAAGAAGTCAAGTGAACGGAGCGTGAAGCGGAAAGAGTGTGATTAAAAAATTATCGCATTCAGTCGGGGAGCAAAACTTGCGTTTCCCAAATCACTCCCACAAACAATGGCAACAGTGAAAGATGAAAAATATTCACCTCAGTCCTTAGAGTGCCCTATCTGTAAGAACATCTTCAGCGATCCAAAAATCTTGCAATGTCTTCACTCGTTCTGCCGGAAATGTCTGGAGAGCTACGACGTAATCGGGGCAGGAACGAACTCGATCGTTTGTCCCCTCTGCCGAAAGCTGACTCCAATTCCGTCCGAGGGAGTCCACATTCTCCCGAACAACTTCCTTCTGACAAACGCGCTGGATCATTTGTCCGTCAAATCAAGCAAAGAGTATACTCTTCATTGCACAAACTGCGAGGACGAAGCAGCGGCGACGTCCCGATGTCTGGAGTGCGCCGAGTTTCTGTGCTCGAACTGCGTTTTGGCTCACCGACGAATACGAGTGACGAAGGACCACCGCATCCTGTCGCTTGACACACTGCAAGCCGACAAACAGACTCTACATCGTCCATCCTTCTGCGGACAACATACGGACGAGATGTTCATGTTTTACTGCGTCCCATGCGACTGTCTCATCTGCCGGGAATGCACAATTCTTGATCATCGAGGACACAAGTATACAGGTATGACTATAATTATAGAGCTTGGAAAGCAATAGACTTCCCATGTCTCTATTCCTCTCCCTGGTATCGTTTTTGATTTTAAAAATAGGTTGGAATTTATAAAGTTTTCTTTGGCAATATTGCAAATTTGAGTATACTTTCAAAATTACAAACCGTTTTTGAAAATCATTTCAGTTATCAAAAACGCAATTTTGAGATCAGATTTAAGTTACCGTGTAGATATGTTATTGAGACGAAATTTACGTTTTCCATGAGGTTAAGGAAAGTCACAAGAATAAATTTATTCCTGTCACGAGCGTGTTTGAGCGCCTTTCAAACTAAAAGAAAACGGTTTAGGTAAAACTTTATTTAAATAAAACGTAAATTGAGAGGGCTATTTGCTCAAATGATCGTAAATATCGACCTGCGTTAAAAGAATTGTTTGACCAAACATCACAGAATACTTTTTCACAAATTTTTAACAGGTTATGACAATAGAGACATGCAAAAGTCAAAAGAGCACCAGCTACAGTAACTTGTGGTCATTTGGAGAAAATCAAAACAGCTCGAATTGGTCTAAAGTTTTTAACTTTTATTTGAACCAAAAGGGAATTCTTCTTTAGAATAAAAATTAAATTGGAGGACTGGATAGAATCTCCTACTTTTAATCTAATTGAGAGAGCTCATGAGCTGAATCTTCTCTTGACTTATACAAATGCGTATTTCAGGCTCGTTTAAGACAATGATGACAGATTAAATTGATTGGCAGGGTGTAATAAATAAACATTCTCCGCTCAGTTAAGCCTGGACTCTAAGTTGAGTCATGAGGACACTCCTTCCTAAACTTACGCACGGACAATTACGGAAGAGTGAGAGCATCTAGGAACTAGGCTGTCTTAAAACAATTTTCAGATAATTGAGAAATGACGCGTCTCCATGCTTCCCTTGATGGACCAAAGGGAACAGGATAGCTTTTATAATTCTAGGGAAAATGAGTTAGTAATACCTCTTTTAACAACTTAATCTTTAAAAAAAATTCTTTTAGGTCTAAAAGAAGCACTCGAAGAAAGAAAGATTCTTATAGATGAGCGACTTAAATTCTGCATCGAAGAGAAGATTCCTCCTGTCCATGATGCTGTGCACGAGGTCAAGACCATGGCAGCTAAGCTACGCGCACGTGCAGAAGCTGTTAAAAGTGAGATATGTGGCACCGCGGAAGAATGCGTGAAGCGCATTGTCAGCCGCAAACAAGAAATACTGGCGAGGGTAAGTGAGTAACTATGGGAGCCACATATCTAAGAAAATATGGTAACCCACCAGGACCAAAAACTTTAATCGTGAAGTAAGAGAAGTTCCTCCTGTGAAGAACTGTATTTTGCAATCGCGAAATACAGGGAAACCACTAGACCACGAGCTCTTAACTTAGAATTGAAATACGTTATATTATCTTACTCTTCAACTTACAATGACATAAAATTTACTTCACGGAAAATCATTACTTTCCTTGGAATGATTTTAAAATAGCGAGAAAAAACTGATGAAAAAAATAACGAATACGTTGGTTTCCTCAGTGGGGAAATAGGAAATGATTAGAAATTCTAATTCAGTACAAATTGAGACCAAGCCTCCATGCTTTTTTCTCTTGTTCACGAATTCAAGGATACATTGTACCTTCTCCACTACTTAACCTGCATTGAATTCATTGCATGTTTTCTTCGATAGGTTGACGCCCTGGAGCAAGAGAAAGAGGCTGTGCTCCGCCATCAACAAAACCAACTAGAGACGGAACTTTTCAAGTACACCAGCTCCAGAGACTTCGTGGAAAATGTAGTTCTGCATGGAAATGAAGTTGAAATCATCCAACTTCGACAACTGATGCTAGATCGTCTTGATGAACTCAACGCCATCAAACTGGATTACAAAGAACCAGAAGAAAATGACGTCATCGATTACATCCTAGACTCGGAAGCTGTGGAGAATGTGGCAACCACGATGGGTCGGGTGGCATCTAGTGTCACGTTTACCGCTCTGTGCAGCGCACGGGGCCTCGGGACCAAATCGGGGAAAGTCGGTGTTGAGTCGTCCTTTATCGTCGAGACAAAAGACCGCTTCGGGAATACATCGGTTGAAGGCAGCCATACATGTCCACTGCAAGTAAAAGTCCAAGCACCTGAGGGGTTCTTTCTTGGAAACAAAGTCACGAACAACGGAGATGGCGGCTGGAGAGTGCGTTACACTCCAGTCACGCACGGCAAACATGATTTGTATGTGACCATCAGAGGGCGCGAGGTTGAAGGAAGTCCTTTCAGCGTCAATGTGGTGGAAGGGATTGATTACACAAAGGTTGGACCAACATTCATGAAGATTGGCTCTCAAGGAACAAAGAGCGGGGAATTCAAGCAACCCTGCTCCGTAATTACCGACCAGGAAGGAAATATCTACGTTACAGACTTCGTCAACTGTCGAGTTCAAAAGTTTGACGCACTTGGAAAGCATCTTCAAGATTTTGGATCCCGTGGAAGCAAAGATGGCCAGTTTCAGAATCCTTGCGGTATTGCGGTAGACACAAATGGAATAATTGCCGTTTCAGACTGGGATAATCATCGTGTACAGCTGTTTAGTCCCGAGGGAAAATTTATCGGCAAGTTTGGAACGAAAGGTAAGCGCAATGCCTGCAAATAGTACCTTAGGAAGTTTCATCCGTTCTCCTTGTCGAGAAAATTCCTTGAAATTGACAATAGGATTTTCATGGATAGAGTACGCTTGCATATTTTCTTTTATTGACAAACGAGGTATGGAAAACGAAATATCAGCTGGTCCTGGCGATTTCTAAGATACTTGCTCTGTATAGGCTTTAACAGCCCAACACAACTAAAAGATAGTTCAGTGGAAGAACATCCGACAAGTAAACCGTTAGCCATGCGTCTAAAACGTAATAAGAAATTTTTGCCACGACTTTACGACCTCTATGTTCAACATAAATGTTAAGCATGTTGCACAACATACTTCCATCAATCTGGAAACATCATTCAGTTCCATTTTATCAACTAAGCCAAATTGATGGAAGATCTTTCTCGAATTTTCAGGACCTGAGGACGGGAAACTAAATCATCCTGCTGGTTTGGCGTTAACCAAAGATGGCAACTTACTCGTGGCAGATAAAGACAACCACAGAATACAACTCTTTAACATGGATGGTACCCACATCATGACGTTTGGTTCCCAAGGCAATGAAGACGGGGAGCTAAATAGCCCAAACCACGTGGCTGTCACTGAAGACAACAGTTGCTTGGTAACCGACACAGAAAACAACCGCATCGTAAAGTTTGACTCCAGTGGCAAGTTCCATTCAAGTTTTGGTGGAAAAGGTAGCAGCGATGGGCAGCTTGACCGTCCCGCAGGAATCACGATAGATTCCGAGGGATTCATAATCGTTGGTGATTTCCAAAACCACAGAGTGCAGATTTTCCAACCAGATGGGAAATTTTATGCCACATTTGGCAGTGAAGGAGATGGAGAGGGTGAATTCAAATTCCCAAGTGGTGTTGCTTTGACAAAGGATGGGCGAGTTATAGTGGCTGACAGGCATAATCACAGGGTTCAGGTGTATTAATCACAGTCAAATATGGTCACTATGATACAATAATCTGTGTGAGCTGGAGGCGGTTTAGTACATACTGGCCGGGAAGTGTGCTACTAATAGATTGCACAGTTTTGCAAAAAACTAAAATTACATTCATCACCTTAAGAGTGAATCACTTTAAATAACAAAGTACCAGTTTAAGTTACAGTAAGAATAAAAGTAAATAAACAAATGTTCATCTATTTCTCAAGATGGACTGCAAATAGAAGACAAATGTTTGTACAAACTATCTGTCAACCAAAGGTAGTAAATTATTTGTGTAGTCACTGATGGCTATTTAAAAACATTCCTTTAGAATAATTTACTAGAAAAGCATGTAAACAGAAAGCCATTGACGACTGATGTCAATGGTTTGGTGACCAGTAAACAGGAGAAAATCACCAACTGAAATATTGCTAAATTGTTAAATGTAGAGACATGAGCAATGGCTACTTCTGTAGGATTTGACAGCTTGTAAACTGAAAAAAAACCCTAGATGTTAAATATGAGAAAAATAAAACTTTCCTTCTAAGATAGAAAATGTGTTATATTTCAGGCTATAGCCTATTTGCCAAAGGCACTTTTTACCTACTCTTTGCTTGGTATAATGTTTTTCTACACCTGTGGATGTTGTTGTGTGACATAATTATACTACCCAGAAGCATTTGACAAAGACCTCATGGTCTGTTGTATTGTTCTGTTGTTTTCTCTATTAAACTGTTTTGTTCTTGTAAATACAATAAGAAGGATGGTGATTAAGCTTTGAGCCTGGTAAAAAAATAGAGCAAGACTAATAAAACTTCTTTCTCTGTTTTGTCCTTGATATAAATTTCCTGTTTTGTGGTCCAATAACATCCAAAAATGTTTAGATCTTGTAGGGCATGCCATACCCTGACAAAGTATACGTTGCGTTACACATTGCCTCCTAATGCTGCATTTCCCATGTAAGCAGTGCCAGGTTTTATCGATTTGGCAGTTATTGATTCGAATAGGAACATAATTTAGGATCATGTCAAGTTTTTGAAAGCCTCATAATCGATTATTTCCACAGAGTAGCAAAGCCATCCGTGTCAAATATGGAGGCATATATTAGTCGATTTCTCGCGACGGGTTCGCTGAGTCTCTTATAACACAACAACGCAAAGCCATTACTTCCTCGGTATACATCAACCTCCCTGGACTACATCAACTCATTTGCGGAAGTATAAGGATTAAGTTTTTCAAAAAGGTTGTTTCCACATCTCTTAAAACATATCGCTGACGCCTGTAGCTAGTCCCTGAGCTTGTATATGCTCCGACAAGAACACCCCTATCCGTGCTTCTGCACAAAAAAATCATCTTCGAGTGATAGCCAAATAAAAAGAAAATGTAAAAGACTTAACAAAGAGTCGATCCACATTGCGATTTTCTTCTCTAGTTGTGGGCTCTGGTCTGTCTTCAAACGACTGTTGGCATAGCTGGTCTTCACTCAAATATCGCCAGGCATTCATTGTATATAGAATCCAGTTTTCCTCTGCCGAATATTTTTAGTGTCCAGTTTACTCCGGTCAATCCTGCATTTCGTGATTTTTTGGCAATTTTAGGTGATGGGGGGAAGCTTTTCATAAAAAGTTTCCAAATACTTATTATATTCAGTTTATTGATCGACGAAAAAAGAAGAAAAAAAACGAATTATCCCAAAATTACCGACGTCCAAACCCGCTTCCATAGGTGTCGGCGCCCGTATTCTTTTAGCCAGCGGATTACCACTAATAGACGCGCGCGCTCCCTTGACAACCAACATTCGATTGGCAACAAAGTGCAATTATCGTAACACGGTTGCGTCCTACAGAAATTTTTACAAACAATTCTGTTTTTTTACCGATTTAAGACCAGTTTTAATCTTAATAGACGACTCAGTGTTTTCTCCTGTTATTCTCACCGACATAAGTCAATTTTATCCGCGATGGCCTCAGAAGTTCGAGACGATCTTCACCTGACATCGACAGGAAAAGGACATTACTATAGGTCTCCACACGGTTTCCCACCTCAAGGATTCCGCGTAAGTTTTTCTCTGATTTTTCTCTGATGAGTTTTCTATATCTTCAGTTTGAATGTCATCTCATATCATATCATAACCACGTCGTATCATAACTTGAATCATTCTTTGGCTTGAAGTCTTTTATGTACGATTTTACTTGTAAACATTTGTGTTTAGTTATGTCGATCCACTTCATTCCCGGTTTGAATCTGCATGTATTGTGAATATACGAAATCATGTCCACGATAGGCCGATGTATAACAAAAATTAACTGCTTGAGATCAGAACGATTCGTTAGAGCGGTCTTAGGATGCATGCTTCCGTCTCTTTACATTCCCATCCCTTACCTCCCCTCCCCTCCAAGATCTCGGTTCTATCGTTTCTCCCTCCTCACTGTCTGCCATACGTTTCAGACACTCCTGGAAGAGAAAAGATGAAAAGCAAATATATGTTTGGTCTAATTTAATGAGAGTCTCCTACACCCCTTGGTTAAACTCAGTTATTTTAAAATAATGGGCCTTTTCATGCATCATCATCATCATCATCATTAATTCAATGTAATTGCCTCACACAAAATTTGAGGCAATCACATTGAATTAATAATTTACTTTTTCTAAGCTCAACAGGTTTACACGACAAAAAGATAATGTGATGTCTTATCTCAATTTTTCAAGAACTACCAGTGTTCAATTTTAATGACATAGTTTATCCATGTGGAGTCCATCTCTGGTGGAAACCCTCGTCAAAACTTAATCATAGCTAGCAGTTCATGAACAATATACTTTTACATTTTCAAAATAATAAAATAGCCACATAACTGCCATAAGCCATAAAACTGGTCACATGGACATAAAAAGATCTTATCATGGTTAAGTATCGTTCATTTATGTAACAAAAATCAAATCACAATTCACAGCAAAAAAATGGCCCTATCACACTTAATGTAAAAAGCATAAGGGGACCCTCTTTATTGACTTTGAAACATCATTTCCCCATGAGAGGAAGAGTACTTCCAAAGTAACTCACTCTGTTTTTTTATCTTTTAACACTGAAAATATTATTTTATGGTTAAATATCAAGCTTTAATTTCTTGAATATCTTGTAAGGAAAATTGATCTGAATATTATTTCTTCCCTTGCATCTCAGAGAACTGTTTATGATGTGTTACCACCTGTCCTCACAAACCCAGATTACGTTACTGATAGGGAAAACTTTCAAACAACCACTGGTACAACTCATGACTACAAGGCACATGGTGGAACTCTGAGTAACTCACAGTTCAAGAAGGCTCCAGGATCATGGAAAGTTCATTATGTAGAAGATAATATTGGAAAGGTGATAAATTAATGTGTTAAAAATTAAGTGTTAAAATCTCTTTCCTGATGTGGACATTTTCCACATACTTTCGTCATGTGATTTATAGAATTGTTAGTTAGTTGTTTTTCAGTTTTTGTTCCTGCAAATTTTTTACCTCTTTTTGATGAATTTTAAGACGTTTCAGAGTTTTTGTTTCAGCCAAATGCTGTGGTTCATTTAACAAATGTAATACATTCTTTTAAAGTTTGGACTTAAGCCTCTTTTTTTGTAACTGGATTTTTTCACAAGGGTGAAATGATAGGGGCTCAGTCTGGACACGATCTGTAGAGATAATGCAGCAGTATCTATGCAGCTCAAATCACAGCATTGTTTTAGTTGCATTATATCATATATTTTTCTTGAATAGTTGAGTGTGAAGCCCTGGAGAAGACCTCTAACAATGGGAAACCAGTGCAGTGAAATGATGTCTCAGTACACAGGGAGACCAGGAGTTAATCTTGACACTGTTTATAATGCAGGGATACAACCATTTAACCTTGCTGATCACCACAGGGAGGGAAACAGTAAGGTATTGGCACTTTTTTTATTGTTTTTGTTCTGAATACAGTTATTGCAGTTAAGTGACCAAATTTCTGTTTTAATTATTAAACTGAATAAAAAACAAAATCATCATAATCCTGAATCTCATCAAGTTAGAACTCCTAGTGTATCTGTATGTTCAAATATGTACACAAACATGTATCCATAAAGCAATGGAGTCCTTGGAAAGTTCTAAGATAGCAAGACTCTCTGTTGATTATTGCCAAATTTTTTTATTTCTTTTATTCCAAATTTAAGTTTTTTAAATTTTGTTTATTATTTAAGACATTATGCCCTGTGAAAATGTATATATACTGGTTTTTGATAAATGAATATTTCTGTTTAAAGGATCTGGTACCATCAACAATAAACAGAGGGATAACAGGGCAGAAGTTTTACCCCAGGGACAGAGGTGTACTGACTTACCACATGGATCCTTATCTTACTACAACACAGAGAGATCACAGAGCATTCACTAAGTAAGTAAAATTTGATTGTTTACCAAGCTTATATGAATAATATGAGATGGCTATTTTTCGATGATATGTATGTTGCAGTCTAATCTAAATTGTATTACAGTCAGTACATTAAAAAAAATAATAGGCCATTTTACAGTTGTGTACTTAGTTGCCAAGCCTTTGATTTGGAGTGAGGCTGAAGGTGACCTTGTTGTGATAGAGACCAGTATCTAGTTAGCATGATATCAAGGTAATTTGCATTTGAAAAGCAGCAAGGTTTGTATCAAAACAAGGTCACCCTTAGCCTCATTCCTGTTCAAAGGCTTGGCAACCAAGCACACAACTGTAAAATGGATTATTAAGTGGGAGACATATAGTGGCATTATTTTGGGGGTGCTGGACCTCAACAGATTTCAAAGGTTCTAAAGTGGGGTTGCTTTTTGTGTTCTTTCATGTTAGCAAGAAGAATTCATGGAAAACATTGGAGTTTCAGCCTAATTTCTTGGCTATAACCCTGAATACCCTCCTCAATCTTGGAAATTTGACCTAAAGCTGAGCTCCAGGATGAGTCTTTTGATTTTTTGCAAGGAGTGAAGGGACCAAATCTCATCTACATGTGTGCTCCACACGGCCATCTTGGCCATTTTGCAGTATACTGTCAAGACACTTGATTATTTGAACCAGGTTAAAGCCCCATGAGTTGTATGAGCTTCTTGGCTTATGAGCAGTCTTAGGCATTTTTATGGCATTAAAGTAACAGCTACCTTCTGACATGTCTTTTTTCTTCCTCAAAACAGGCATGAATTGGGACGTTACCCAGCCAAAGATTATGCAACTTATTGGGAATGCGAAGAGTACACAAAAGCCTGGGGTCATGGCTCAAAAGAAAATCCTCTACCCCTAAATTCAGTCCCCAGAGAAAAAGGACCCATGAGGGACCGTATCTGGTTCAGAGAACCAACCACTATCCCCAGGCTACCAAAGTCACTGGAGCCTGTACCAAATAAGTAAGATAGGAGCTGAAATGTACAGCAATTAAGTGAAATAGTTAATATTTTGATTATCTATTAATAATCCTCAAGGCCAAGTTGAGAGATGTAATGAGCAATATTCACAATGTCAAGAGGAAGCTGTCGGAGCAAATGCCTTTTATTTTATTCTTTCCACAAAAAAGGATGCAGAGGCCAATGTGCTTCTTTAAGTGTTGTGATAACCTTGCCTATGGTGATGGTGATCATTATAGAGTTAAAAAGATAGGATCAATATCAGTATCTGGGCAACTGCCCACCCACTCCTCCCCTAACCCAACATTAACCTTGACTTGTTGTCAATTGACTATTGTTGAGTTAGGGGAGGGGTAGGTGGGCAGTTGCCATGCAGATACTGATATTGATCCAAAAGATATTGAGCAAGAAGATCAAGTGCGCCTGAAATTACCTGAGGAACAAAATACATGCAAAAATTTTAAAACTCGTTAGCTTGAATATTGTCAATAATTTCAAACAGTGCAGAATGAAGGAAAAAAAAGTTGGAATCTGGTGAACTGATCAAATGATATTTCCCTGCAGTTTTGAATGAATGAGCACTTAGAAAATTTTCAAACCTACAAGTGCATTGTTTTCTGCTGACACTCTGCCAATGTTTTGGAAATCAACAGTCCTGACTACCAGCCAGTGTGTTAAATTGTGGAATGTTTTTGTTCCATCTCTAGGGGAATGAAGACACTGATGAGTGAGTCCTACACCATGCCTCCTGAGAGGAAAAGATGGGAATTATTTACCTTAAATGTACCAAAACCTTGGCATGCACCTCTTGAAAGTAAGGAGTTAAATTTTTTTGTCGTTCACATTTATTTATTACTAACTTTTTAGTTTTTGTTTATCTTAAGGAGGATGGTCCAAAACGTTCCTCTTTGCTTTTGGTCTTGTTGTTGTTTTTTTAAAGGAAGAGCACATGAATGCAAGACCCTTGTCTCACATTTATTCTTTATCATTTTCTCAGGCCCAGGCCCTGGAGAGACGTTCCGAGTTCCACGGATGTACAACACTGAATACCAATTCTATGGCAGTGAAAAACCAGTCACAATATGAGGAAATATCATGCACTTTTAAGAATTTTCTTAAAACATCACATTTGATAAGCATTCTATAATATTACTCTAAACTATTTTTTTCTTTCAAAAATGTGAGAGAATGGAATGTTATATAATTCTGGAACAATCTTAAACAACATACATGAAGTTTTCACTTCTTTTCTTAAACTGAACAGCATTCAATAAGGTAAACATTCAAACGAACATGGTCTTTCCAAAACAAGATGATTGTTTGCCTTGATATCTCTTGTGGATTGTTCTTTATTGCATTATGTGTAGAACAATATTTAATCATTCTTTTATTGCAAAATAATTTCAAACAAAAGGAAAACAGTATAACTTAGATTGATTAAGAAGGCTTTGTTGTGTAGTATCTCATCTTGTGTTAATCAGTAGTAATCTTCTCTATGCTTCTTGGTCAGAAATCTCATTGGACAGTGTGTACCTCAAAGTGGTCACTTGGTAAATAACAGTTTATTTTATTACCAAGCTTATATGTAGTTCAGTAAAAAGGAATTATGTTTTGTAAATATTTACAAGGAGAGGAGAAGAAATAAAAAATTCAAAGTAACAGTTTATATACAAGCTACATGTACAACTGTGTTCAATAACGCTTATTCACACGGGGCTGCGTGAGCCTGGTTCCTGGTGGTCTCATGTTTTTCTGTCCCTTATTGCGAGAAGATGATGTTAGGAACCACTGGCCCACTAATCAAAGAAGATAACTTTGGCTGAAAGTTGCGAGGAAGAAGTTGCAATATTCTTGGATGATGAGATTGACTGTCAAAAAAATCTTACAAGCGTTCACCACATCCCCACTTTTTTATTTAAATTCTAGAAACAATGTATTCTAAATGTTTGAAATGTTGCAAAAGATTGCCAGAATTGAACATCCATGACACGTGAGGCTAAATGTAGATATGCAAGAGCTATTCCGTTGATCTGTTTACGTCAAGCCGACGAGGGGATATTCGTTAAACTGGGTAGTTATTGGATAGAGCACTTTATGATTTGTGAAAGCTGTTTCTTTGTGATTTGTTTTCACCTGAATCGCGCGTCTTCAAAGGCTACGAAACCGTTATTTTCTTAAGATGAACTTCTCTAGAACGGGAGATCAATTCCTGGCCTTTTATTTATTTTTACATATTTTCCGCGAATTGGAAGGCAACATCGCGTTTCAGTAAAAAGTTTTGATAGGTAGTGGATGAAAAGAAATCGTATCAGTCGATATCAGACTTGGGTGGACCTCCATCCTTTCCCACCCTCCATAAAAAAAAGTACAACTGGCGGTAAAAATTATCCCTTTAGACATAAACAGATCGTCATCGTGGGATCTAAAAGACTTGAATCCTATTATTTCCACTATCAGCCACAACGATGTTGCCTTCTTTCGTTATGGCAATTCCACACGGATTCTTAAAACACCCTTCGTCTTCACCGTATGCACCAAACGCGTTGACAAACTCGCCATTAGAATTGAACACTTGCACCCGGTGATTGTGATAGTCACACACTAGGATGTTGTCCTCGTCATCGCAGGCCACGCCCTCGGGGCCGTCAAATAAGCCGTTTTGTGATCCTGCAAAAGGAATAGTAGGAAATTTTTCGAGTATCACTAATACTCCAGGATTGAAATGGTTATTCTTTACTTTCTCTGTGATTGGTCGAGAAAACTGACTCGTGCTATTCTCTTGACCAATCAGACACAATCTAAAAGCAATCACAACCTGGTCAATCCAAGATTCCCGCGCTTCAGGAAATTTTCTCATTTTTGCTTTTAGCTTTCATTACTTCCTTGTAATAATTACTGTGTCAGGTCTGATTGAATAATGTTATGCAAACTTTAGCTAGACTGCATTAAGCAATTTACAACTTTTGAAAGGGAAGTTTGAACGAAGGACACCGTTGATATCAATTTTGACTCTAACAGAGTAAACAGAGAAGTGCACTTCACTTGATTCAACCGTCAGAGAGAAACGCATATCTGATTTGCGGCCAGCCTTTAGGAGGATCCATGTTTTTGGAGGGAAGCATCCAGGAAGGGGACGTAACTTTGAACTGAGGCAAGATTTTTAGGGGGAAAAAATCATTCTGCTGGCGGAAAATGCTTTGGGGAGAAAATTCTCTTTGAAACATGTCAAGAGCTTACCTTCTTTTCCAAAGTCAGATAAATATTTCCCTTCCAAATCAAACACTTGAACTCGATCATTGACACAATCGGCTATAATGATCCTCCCTCGCTGATTCACACACACGTGATGAGGGTATATAAACTGTCCTTTTGAAAACCCCTGCGTTCCAAACTGTCGCACGGGCTCCCCGTTCACGTTAAATAATTGCACCCGATGATTATCCTGTTCCGTTACTATCACCAGTTCCCCAGGGGTACATGCCACGCCACACGGATGGTTTAGGAGGCCTGGTCGCTCCATTCCGAAGCTGCCGAATTTCCTGATAAATCGACCGTCCTCGTTGAATACTTGAACTCGATGGTTGTTGGAGTCTGCAACCATTATGTGGCCGTTAGGAGCGCGGGCCACACCCTTGGGGTACCTGAATTGCCCCTTATCCGTACCCTCCGAGCCGAACTTAAACATGAACGTTCCCTCAAAGTCGAACACCTGAATTCGATGGTTGTTACAGTCGGAGACAATGAGATGATTGTTCTCGTCGTCTATGGTGACACCCCAAGGCATATTGAACTCCCCTGTCATAAAAGATCGTAGGAATACAGATGCAATTCTGAAGGTTTACACATGATAAATGCCCAGTTTTTCTTCTTTATAAAAAGAGCTATTAATTGCTAAAAGAAATCAACTCACCACTTCCTCATTTCCCGCAGTGCACTTTCCTCCACTTTCCCCCCGTTCCTTGCCCCCCACCCTCCCCCCCCCCGAAAAGTTCAACAAAATTAAATAGAAAAGGAAAGAAAAGCCTTTAAAAGCGTTTATATATGCATATTTTATATGGAGAGGAAGGGGGTGGTGACATCGGTGGGTCTGTTGGACATGTGGCGCCATGAAGTATCAAAACGAGGCTGCAGTCTATCCATCTTCATTTATAGCCAACTTCCCTCTCCCTCCCATAGCCGCCCCTCACCTCCCCCTTCCCTTGCTAAATCCTACCTCCCCCAGCTCCCTCACAGCCAAAGCACGCCATGACTTTCCCAACTTTTCCAAAGTCCATTCTTCCCGTCACGTTAACACTAAAAGGACTCCCATTGATGTGGATATTTCGCATGGTTATGTGGATCTGGTGAAGTCCTCGTGCTGTCGGTTGATAGGATGTGGTGAAGGTGCCGTCTTCGTTATCAATCACATATGCTGCGAGAAATAAAAAAAATTACCTGCTTTACAACTAAACAAACTAAAGCAGTGGTAGACACAGCTATGAACTGCTTTTCGTCCTACATTAGATGGTCTTTATTGCGCTTTATCTCCTATCAGAGCTCGGTGACATCCTTCTTTTCAATTACTTGACACGAATGCGCATGTGCTAAAAGATTGTTCAAGTACTTACTCGGGACGGGATCTCCCTCGGGTGGATCAATCTGAACTCTGATTGGTTCCCCTCTGCCACTGAATACCTCGTTCATTCTGTCTTTCGTTGTAACAAGAAACACTGCCTCCACGCCAGACTTAGCTCGATGGATTCCCACGCCGGTTGCAAAACAATATGGCGGGTACGCATGGTAAACCTTCACCTCGCCAATATACTCGAGGGCCTTTCTAAACTCGTCGGTAGAGAACTTGTAGTCAATGAGGTCATCTTCCAGCGGTAGGTACTCCAACTTGACGCTGTTTAAGTCCTGTAATCGCTGTGTCATTTGCTTTTTGACCAGCATCACCTCTGCTTCGTTTCCGTGCCGAAGAAGACTTTCAGTAAAATCTATGCTACTGTTTAGATTTCCCATCATCATTTCGAGTTCATCCAGTTGGATTTCCAGCGTTTTGGATTTCATCCGGTAGATGTTATTAACCTGTGTGATAATTTCCTCTTCTCTTTCTTGAACAACTTCTCTGCATCGTTTGCAGTTTTGGATTACCTCTTGCCGAACTTCTTCCAGTTTGCAGTCCAGTTTCTGTTTCATTTCTGACACTTTTTCAATAGCTTCTTTCAAAGGGGCTATTCGTTTTTTAGTATTCATAACAAGAACTCCAACCTGGAATAAAGAAGCGATGAATTAAACAAAATAAATACATGTAACAAAGAAACATACTCACGCTACGACAAACAACTCACACTGTGCAAAATCTCTAAGAAAATTATCTGCCTAAGATCCTGAACTGAACAGCGACATAAAAGAAGTGGGAAAAAAGAGCCAGGTTTCGAACAATACCAAAACCCTTAAATGCACTAAAAACAATATTCATGGCATTCTATTCGCCTAGAGTAGTTACTTAGTGGTTGAGAAATTAATTACCGTCGCCAATATTGAGTATCCTTGGGTTAATCACAGCGCAACCAGCAAAAAAAGAAAAACTGAAATAACAAATGAATTTTGTCTGGTATAAACAGCTAGACAACGAGCAGTCCCTCCTTTTCGACGAAGTTCGTCGCGCAAGTCAAAAAAAATTCGTGGAGTTCCGCGTGGCGCACTAACATCAATTTTAGTTTAATTCGCGCGAAGGACTTCGCCGATAAGGAGTTTAGTACACAGCAGTAATAATAGAGATGCTAGTCTTACAAAATGTAGAAAGTCTAATTTCTTTTTTCTGCTCAACCTACGTACTACGTCTTAAATTAGGTTAGCCAACATTTTCAAATACGACTGAAAAGCTGAATGCCGAAGTATTAGTGCTCTTGATGATTTTAATGTAGCTTTATCCCATTGAATAAAACCTTTAATCATAATGTAACGTAAGAACTTAAGCTTTCCTCTACTCACAGAAATTTCCAGTCAATAACAAAGCAAATAGTTCACGCATTCCGTCGCAACAAAGACTGGATAATTGCGTCTTACCATTTGCCTATGGCAAATTAAAGACGCTATTAGCGTGCTGTTAGCAACGAGATTTGCAGATAATTTCTTACCTCTGACCGATGTTTTTTATCCACATCTTTTAAATAACCATAATGGTGTTCTCTGTGATCAATGATAAGACATTCGCGGCAAACAGGCTCATCGCACGTCTCGCAGAAGTACTTCAATACATCCCGCTCATGAACCGTGCAAAGCAAGGGTCTGTGTAACTTTTCCTGAACCTCTTTCTGCGACTGTAGTTCACCCAAAGCGATAACTTCGTGTTCTTTGGTCATTCGCGTTCTGCGATGAGCTGCAACGCACTGCGAACAGAGAAACTCCATACACTCAATGCATCGGGAAGTTGCCCTGTTCTGCTCGTCGCAATTTGAGCAAACAACAGGGTTGGAGTTGCTCTTCGCAACGGAGAGAAAATCCAACATGTTGTTGATGAAGAAATTGGTTGACAGTGCTCCGACGCCTTCCTTAGGGACGGAAACCTCGCATCGACAAGTCGGACAAATGATGGTGTTTTCTCCGCTGTTGATGAGCCCATGTAAACAATGTTGACAAAAAGTGTGCAAGCAGGGAAGAACTTTGGGCATCGTGT